CCCGCCTAGAATCCCCCAGTGAGGGGCTGAGCTGTGGTCAGGGTGGAGCCCCGCCTAGAATCCCCCAGTGAGGGCCCGGGGTGTGGTCACTTGAACAGAGTCCTTAGAAGTGTAGCTGCTCCATCTCTCTGCGCTGTTCCACTGGCTGTCATGGACACCCACCCTAGTGGCTGTGGTTTCTGGTTTGATGCACAGCCTAGCCAAGGCTGACCTGGGACTCACTATGTAGCCCTGGACGTCCTTAAACCCTCTTACCTCTGACTCCCAAGTGCTGGGGTGACAGGTGTACACTTCTACACCTGGTTTATCTGGTGCTGGGGACAGCACCCAGGACCTATTGTGGTCTAAGAAACCCAGCCCAACTCCCAAAGTATTCACTGATTTGACCTTTGAAATGGTGATAGGCATTTGAGAAAGGTTATCTGCTTTGCAGAGGGGAAACTGAGGCCTGGCAAAAAAGAATTCTGCGTGACTTAAACCCAGGAGGTCAGACAAGGTTTTCTCCCAGGCAAACCACTGAGAAGACAGTGCCCTCCCCCTCCCCCCCCCACACCCTCTGCAGCTTGGGCAGTAGTTTCCTGCTCCTTCCTCAATGAGGGACCAGTGCTGCAGGCGCAGGGAACAGCAGGCATGTACAAAGGCCCTGGGGCAGACAGAGGGCACAGCCCACAGGACAGTCCTGGAGCAGGGCAAAGCCTGGTGCAGGGGAAGCGGGAGAGGCAGGCGGGGGGGGGGGGGGCTGGTGGGCTGCAAGGAAGACTTGGGTTTTGTTTTGGGACAGGCTCTACATCGCTCTGGCTGTCCTGGAACTGGCTGGCCTTGAACTCATAGCAGCAGCCTCCTGCCCTCTCTTCCCAGTGCTGTTTGCTTGAGCGAGGAGGAGGTGAGCCTACAGTGGTTGAGCTGAGACGTAGGTGTGCACAGGGTAGACCCAGCCCTGCCTGCGTGCATCTCAGAGGAGGCAAACGCCATCTCTGGGCTCGTTCTCCATACTGGCTGGGTGGATACCATCACAGCGAGACTCCTCAGGACACACAGGCAGCAGGCCAAACATTAGCTAATGTTTATTGCCCCAGATTCTGAGCAGTGTGGGGCCACTGGATGACCCCCTTATCAGGTTGCCCTGTTGTTTACACACACATCGCTGAGGTGAGAAGATGAGGCCAGCAGCAGCCCCAGAGATGTCACCTATGACTGTAGCGTGCACACAGCTTCCTTTCTTTATGCCTGCTGAGATCCAGGAGTAAACACAAGACCCAGGCTTCATCCGGGTCCTCACAGTGACACCCAGGACCTCTGAGGACACGGTGACAGTGACCCTGGTACCCAGATTAGGAGAGGACGAGGGAATGCAGGAGTGAGGGATGTGGTGGATGCTGTGGTCCCGCCTACTGGCTCATTCTGGCCGGAAACCCCATTTGACTGGCTGAGAAGCATTTAGTGAGCGCCTACTGTGTGCCAAACCAACAGGGACATAGGAGAGTGGTCAAACCAGCTGTGTCCCCTACAGACTGATTCCAGAAGCTGAGACAAGGGGATGATGAATTTGACACCATATGGGGTTGAAGTCACAGGATGAATGGGGTATAACGGGTGAGGTGGTGGTGGTGTGATAACTCCCATCTCAGCACTGGAGAATTGAAGCAGGAGTTCAAGGTCATCCTCAGCTACACAGCAAGTGTGAGGCCAGTCCGGACTACAGAGACCCTGTCAAAGAAGGAAGGAGGGAGGGATGAGGGAGGGAGATACACACAAAAGTGACAATTTTGATTGTTTTATTTTATTCATTTTTTTGTTTTATTTTATTTTATTTTTGAGATGGGATCTCACGTAGCCCAGGTTAGCTACCACTTCGCTATATATTGAAGACGTTGAACTCCTGCCTCCACCTCCCCAGAGCCTGATGACAGGCTCTGGGGTTGGAACCCAGGGCCTGTGCATGCCCTGCCCTCACTGTGTCCACTGAGCCCATTCCTGCCCTGTTTGAAAAGTCTCAGGAATCGCGGCCCTTGATCTTGCCCAGTCCAAGGTGGTAGGGAGTCAGCACACTCAGAGATAGAAGCCTGGATAGCACCCCCAGACATGCACACCCCACTTTCTGCTCACACCTGTCATTTTACTGTCAGCCGTCTCCTCCCACACGCAGCCCGTGGACTGGCGGCTGCACTCCTGCAGGCTGGTGGTGCGGCCAGCAGGGCAGACAGCCTCACCCAAGACCCTAGGGAGGGAACAGGAGCCCGGTGCAGTGTACCGGGAACCCGCTGATCTTGCTCCCCACCCCTCCTTTGTAGGTCGTCCCTAGTGCCTGGAGACAGATGGATCCTGCTGTGTGGGTGTCACTCGCAGAGCCAGACAGGCCGAGGAGTGAGGGAGTTCTGAGAACCAGGGACTACACCGCAGTGTAGCATCCCAACAACACTCCCCTTAGCGGGCAGTGCCGACCGAGCCCCTGCCTCACATGCTGTCCCAACCTCGTCCCCGCTCTGTCTCATCTCTCAAGCCCCAAGAGAGGTTCAGGGAAAGGGGTCGCTCGATCGGGGTCACACAGCCAGGAGGGGTGCAAGGCGGCCTGTCGGGATGCTGGGGAGCTGCTGGGTGGCGTCTGGAGAGACTTGGCTCGCGACCCTTCTTCCCCGTGCAGGTCCCTGGTGCCGGGAGCTCCGGGACGTGTGCAGAGCGCGCCTCCTGCCGGGCGGCTGGAGTCTCTACAGCCCTGACCCGGGACCAGGACCCAGAAGAGATATCCTGGCGTGCAGCTCCGAGCTACGGTGGACCCCCTCCTCCTGAGCTAATCTTTTCATCTATATGCTCCCCGTTCCAAGCTGAGCCCGGATCCCTTCTGAATTCCCAACTTTCCATCTCTGCGCTCTGAAGCTCCGTCCCCATTCAACACTAATTCCATCCTCTCCCCAGTCAACTGCGCCCACCACCCTATTTCCTGGCTCTGTGGCTCTGATTACTGCAAGGAACCCCGAACTCCTGGGAGTGGAACCCTACGGGGAGTGTCCTTCTGTGTCTGGCTCAAGTCGGTGAGTATCATCCGTGATGGAGCAGGTGTCTGAATAACGTCCCTTCTACACGTGGAGTACAGCTCATCTACCTCTCACTGACGGACACTAACGTTGCCTCCATCCTTTGGCTCCTGTGAATAATTGAATTAAAACTGCCGTACATACACATCAGAATCTGTGTTTCCTACCTGAATGTACCCACGTGGGGAATGCCTGGCGGCCAAAGTGATCTTCCCTAAACTTAAGAAATTTCAAACTGTTTCTGAAGGCTGTCGCCATTTTACACCTCTCCCCAGGGACGTCCTCATCCTCACGGACGATTTGTAAGATGATGATGATGATGATGGTTACTAAACTGGATATGGACCTGGGGGTTCTTGCACACTGGGCAGACACTCCACCCCTGAGCCGCCAATACCCTCCGCCCTTCACTTGGGGATTCGAGGTGGGGACTCCACCTCTGACCATGCCCCAGTGCCTCATTTGCTCCGCTTGAGCCACACCCCCAGCCAACACAGCCGGGTTTGAGCCCGACTTCCGTCACACCCAGACTGTCTGTGGGTTTTCCAGGCTGAGACTTGCTAAATCACGGCTCTCTGGCAACCAGGTGCCAAAAAAACTGCTTCAATGACCACCCCCGCACTAGCTGCCCTGGTTCGTTCTTGGAGGTCTGGGCTATGAAGCTGGGCTGTAGTGGATGGAGCACGCCTTTAATCCCAGCACCCGGAAGGCAGAGACGGGCAGATCTCCGTGAGTTCGAGGCCAGCCTGGTCTACAGAGCTAGTACCAGGACAGGCTCCAAAGCTACAGAGAAACCATGTCTCGCAAAAATAAGAAAGAAAGAAAGAAAGAAAGAGAAAAAGGAAGGAAAGAAAAGAAAATCTGAGCAGTGGTCTCTACTGGGTACACTGAGCGTATTTGGGGTTGTCTGTGGCTGCCACACAGCGGGAGCTCCCGGATAGGGAGTGAGTGAAGGCGGTGAACTATGCTCAACATCCCTGTACAGCCCCCTGCAGAGCCTGGATGGTTACTGAAAACAAGTTCTTGGCCCCACACATTGGAGAGCACAGACAATCTGAAATCAGGGGGGGCACTTGGGTCAGTGCTGCTCCAGGCAAGTCGCTTGCCCTCTCTAGGCCTCGGTTTCTATCTCTCATAATATAAAGAATGGATTTTTTTGTGTGTGTCTTAAGGCCCGTGCCAGGGGAGGTCAGGATGCAGACAGCAAGCATCTACGAGGCTTCCTGGAGAGGGCGATGGCGCTGAGACCTTTCCAGTGCTGACTGGGCCGTCCAGGCACAGGAAGTGCAGACGGGGGATGCGGATTTGGGGGGAGGGTGGGAGGTGATGGGGGTGTGGGAGCCACTCCCAGGTTGAGTTCCCAGGACTCACAGCTGCGTCCTCCAGGGAGGCTACCAGGAGCGAGACTATTGGAGTGTCCCCCTTACCCCAGCGACACCCACCGAAGGGGGTTCTTCACTAGACTCGTGAATCCCAAAGATGTCCCAAGACAAACGTCGGGCTTCATTTGTCACTGGGGTCCCAGGTGGCATCCTAACTACTCAGTGGGTAAACTGAGGACTAGCCCGGAAGGGTCCATGTGTCTTTTGGTGCCTCGCGGGAGCGCGTCTCTATGCTGTGTCCGGTAGGATCTCTGGCGGGGTGCACACGTACCCCATTTTTCTCTGCTTGAGTCTCCTTCCTCTCACCACCCCCCCGCCCCGTTCCCGCCACGGAACTCCCCTGCGCCGCCCTCGCCTCGGCGTCCGGCGTCCGGTGCTGCTGCTGCTGCGCTATTCCGGAGGAATCCCCCAGCCACAGGCCACGCCCCCGCCACGCCCCCCACCTCCGCGGCCGAGGCCTGCTCTGCTGCCACTGGCCCCTTCGTACACCGCCCGTGCGCTCCTATTCGCTGAGCCAGTGAAAGTCTGCAGGGGCGTGGCTTGTTCTGTGCGGGGGCGTGTCTATACCAGGGGGCGTGGCCCCTGCCCAGCAGCCAGCTCGGGTCGGTCGACCAGCGGTTCCCGCCCCACAGAGGCGCCTGCACAAAAGTGACAGCCAGACGGATCCTGAGAAGCAGGTGAGCGATCCGGGTCCCCGCACCCGTCCATCCTGGGTCCTTGCTGTCCCCTCTTATCCCCACACTGTCCTAGGTGCATCCTGGCCTCAGTTTCCCTGTATACCTGTGCCTGGCTGTGTGAGTAGGCTGCTGTGGGCTGCTGTAATGGTCCTAGTTATCCCTTCTCAAGGGGACATGGTGGACCTCGCCCTGTACAGGTGTGCAGCCCGACTCCAGAACGGCCTGGGTATTCCCGGCGGTGGCCGGCCAGATCCCACTGTGGCTCTGGCTGGTACAGGGACCCCACCTGAACCCCCGTCGTCCAGACTAGGAGCTTCCCGTCGCCCTGAGCCCTGGGACTCTGTTTTACCAGCTGGGAACTGGAGCAATCCCCATCATATAATTGGCAGGTGACTTGACCCAGGTCTGTGACCTCCTGGCTCTTCCAGTGGTAGCCTGGAGGGTAAACTGAGGCTCAGAAAGTAGCCTGTGGTTGACCAGGGATGTGTAGACAGAGGGAACCCGAATGTGGCTTTTTACCTTTTTGAGCGGCCAGTCTGGAGCAGGACAGGGTGAGGGCCAAACTGTACGCAGGCTCCTGAGACACTTCCCCCGCTCCAGGCTGCAGAGCCTCTGGAAGCCTGCCTAGGGGTCAGAACATGGCTCACACAAACCTGACTTCCCTGAACAAGTAACTTAATTATAAGCCTCAGTTTCCCTGTCTGTGACTTGAGATAGTTGTTTCATGACTCCCTGGGACTAAAGGCTTCTGGGAGGATTAAAGCAAAGACAAAACCCACGGAGGCAGAGCCAAGGTGGGCTACACAGGGAAGCCACATCTAAAACCAAGTGTAGACTGGCATGTGGTCTGGTGGGTGGAGTGTTCTACTGAGCAGGAGGCCCTGGGTACCAGCCCCACGGCCACATGAACCAAGGTTTGGGGTGCGTGGCTTTCATCCTAGCTCTTGGAACAGAGGCAGGTGAATGTCTGTGAGTTTGAGGCCAGGCCTGCACAGTGAGTTACAGGCTAGTCATGACTGTGAAGTGAGACCCTGTGATAAAAACAAACAAAGAAAAACAGGAATGTGGGCTTTGTGTGCCAAACTTCCTGTTTTCCCATCCTGGGACTTGAGAATGGCTGCCCCTTCCCCACACGGACCGTCCAGTCTCGGGACCTTTGCTCATACCTGCTACAGCCACAGCCGAGCAACACAGGCGCCAATTTTGAAACATAACAAGTTCATGGTCTGGGCCGCACCTAGGACGTGGGTGACTGGGAGGGATGGGGTGGGGCCGTGGGGACTATCACAGAACAAAGAACATTGGCACCGAACACCTGTGCTGGGCCAGGGCTGGATCCTGAGGGGACAGGGACACAAGACACTTGTGTTCAGTTTACCCTCTGACCACTGGGCAAGCGAGGACCCAGCCCACAATGATTACCGATTTAATGATTTAGTATATTGATTCAGTATGAGGGGATTCAGCCTACTTCAAGGCCAAATCGTCATGGCCACAGGGTGCATGCCACCTGCTGAGTCCGGTGCCACCCAGGACTCACTAGAGACTTGAGGAGGGTGAACTTTGATCTAGGGATTCGGTGAGTCCACTCTCCCCAGAAATTCTGCATTGTCCCACCAGGTGGTTGCTTTGAGTTCCCAAGCCTCTGTTTACCCATCTGGGACCCTCCAGAGGGTGCTCTGCAGGCTGGGGGCTTCCACAATCCTCCCCAAAGGCACCATGGAAGGGCTGATGGGGCACACATCTTCTGGAAGATTCTCAGACTGAGTCAGTAGGCCCCTCTGATTTTAGAGTGACCCTGTGTAAGATGAGCTCCTTAGGGGCTGGACTCATATCCCACTCCTGACTCGGTGTTGCTCTGAGAATATCTGTCAGCTCCCAGGCCCCTTCCTCAGTTTCTCCTTTTGTCATGACCATGAGAGGTTACTTAGTCACTTGACAAACAGTTCCTGAAGACGGAGGGGAGGTTAAGTATGGTGCCTCGTGGCACCAGAACACAGCAGTATCCAAACTGGTCCAGTGCCCACCCTCCTCTGCCTCACAGTTGGAGCTGGACCCTGTCCTGAGAAATAACTGTAACCGTAAGATGAGGAACTGGGAGGAACATGGAGGAGGCCCATGGCTGCAACAGAGGGAGAGGGAGGCAGGATTCTCAGGACTTGGGCCCCAACAGTGAGGGAGGTGGGAGCCTCTGGCATTTCGGGAATCCTGGCGAGGGTGAGAGGAAGCTGCGTGGACGCTGGGAGCCTTGGGAAATGGAGGGAGCTGGTACAGTCTGGGGACGAATGCACACACTGTCATATTTCCCTGGTTAAAACCCTGAGTGGAGGCCGAGGCGTGAGGATCGCGGTAAATCTGAAGCTAGCTTGGCCTACAGAGTGAGTCCTTATCTCAAACTCTGACCCTAAAGAAACCCTGTCCCTGTGTGGAAGCTGAAGCAGGGGTCCATGCCCCTGTGGCTTTGTGACAGTCTCTTGAAAGTATATTAATTTATTCTTTTTTGTGCATGTGGAGTAGACAACTGGCTGTCCTTCACTGAGTGGGTCCTGGGCTCGAACTCAGGTTGTCTGACTTGACAGAAAGCGCCTTTACCTGCTGAGCCACGTTGCTGGCCCTCAACCCCCATTTTTTCAGGACATGTCTTGCCTCCCAGGTCTCCCCTACCCATTCTTGGGGTGGCATCATTGTGGGGACCCTGTTTGAGAACCTCCAGTGTCTTCCCCACCAGAGAAGCTTCCTCTTCCCAGTCCTGATGCTAAGGGTGCTGTTTGCAGGTGGAGTCCCCAACAGGTGACAATGCTTCGGGATAGACTGGGGGGCCTGGGTGACGTGGGGCCTCGTCCCAGCCACCCTGGGGCAGTCAGCGAGGGCGGAGAAAGAGAATGGCGGGCTTGGTTACATCAATTATTGATGAGCTGCGTGTGGGACATAAAGAATTCATGAAACCGGGGGCTGCCCAGGGGCGGGCAGCAGCGTCGGTCTTACGAGAGCTGCTGCTGGGTTTTGGGAATTCTGCCATCTGGTTGTTAAACCCAGATTAAAAGTCAAGGAGTGAGTGCTTCCAGCTAAGTAAATCATGTTGTATTTATTATTTATTACATTTATTTACAGTGTGTGTGTAAGCCAGGGCGCATGGGTTGGAGGTCAGATGATAACTCATGGGGTTCGATTCTCTTACCACGGTGTAGGTCTCAGAGATCGAACTCAGGCTGTCGGACTCGGTGGCAAGCACCCTTATCCACTGCCGTGTTGACAGAATGCAAACCAGATCATAAGTAAAGTTGTCAGGTGGTGGCACCCTCTGTCAGCCGAGCTAGAGAGGCAGAGGCAGGAGGACCAGGAGTTCAAGGTCAGCTTTATATAGTGAGGGGATAGCCTGGGCTAAATATGAGATAAAAATATAAGTGCACTTTATGGAATGCAGATGCTATTTCTGTTCTGGAGAAGCTCCACCCCAAGTCCCCTCTCCCCCATCTCTCTCCAAACCCTACTACATCTCAGAAAGCCTGCCAAATGATGACCCCTCCCTCAGAGATGCTCAAGGTCACTCCCACAGGGTATTTAAACTGCCCCCCCAAACAGACACGTGGTTTTCCGGTCTTTCTTTTCTGTCTCCTCCCTGGGAGGCTGGAAAATCATCCGGGAGCGTTGTATCTATATTTCGGGTTGATTTGGTCTGATTGGATTGCTGCTTCGGTGGAGAGGCTCACGGGGTGCAGAAACTTTTCAGTTTTAATAAAGCTCTTAAGATTGATAGTGACAGTTCCCACCCATGATAAACCCCAATAAAAACACACAGGAAAAAACAAAACCAAAACAAAACAAGGATTCAAAGGTCAGGTTGGGTGTGATGGTGCACGCCTTTGATCCCAGCACTCGGGGAGACAGAGGCAGGGGAATCTCTCTAAGTCTGAGGTCAGCCTGCCTGGTGTACATAGAGAGACCCTGTCTCAAAACAAAACGAGGGGTGAGGAGAGAGAAGCCAAAGCACATGCAAGGGCGGAGAGAGGCCTGGCACGTGAAGTGTTTGCTGTCTAAGCATGAAGACCGGAGTTCGAAACTCGGGAATCCTACAGAGAAGCCAGAACTGAGGGCAGGCAAATGTGATCTCATGAGAGGGGTGGGGACAGGAGTGTCCTTGGGGCTTGGTGGCCAGGCCTGGCTTCTGGTCTGGGTGCACAGTAGAGGTCGTCAGTCCCCAGCACCACACACAGTGACTGCCAGCGTAGACACCCCATGGCCTGGCTGTGGCCTGTGTCCATGTTTGTTCTGAGTCTGTTGGAAATGGCACAGGGGCTCCCCAGCTTCACGTGTCTCCTGTGGCCACTGTGGCCGCAAGGACCCCACAAGGATCCTCAGACCTTTGCGGAAGCCTGGCTTGGTTTCTGTGTGGCCGGCTGTGGTCACCATGGAGACGGGGCCTGGGGATTGGGGAGGGAAATGGTGTCAGCTGTGCCCAGGAACAAGGGCCCATCCACCTGCACCCACCTTTGGGTATGCAAAGGATCGATCGCGTGTGAGGTATGCGAGGAGACATCACTTACACTAGCAAGTCAGGGCGGTGAGCAAGGAATGTCAGGCGCCACAAGCAAGTCGGGGGTCTGAGAAAGGGGTGAGGCATGAGGAAGGGGGGTGTCTTGGCATTTTGGGCTTGGGGATGTCGCTGTGTAGCCCAGGGTGTCCTGGAACTCACTCTGTAGCCCAGGCTGGCCTCCACAGACATCCTCCTGCTGGGGTGGGAGGGACCACGCTCACTTGCTCTCCAACTGCCTGGCCTCAGGGCTGCCATCCTGGGAGCCAGAGGGCATTCAAGGAGGTTCTGAGGTTGGGGTGTGAGTGGCACCTGCGGGCGAATGTCACAAAGGACGGCACAGATCACATTTGTTTGTTCATTAGAACTTGATGTGACAGGAACTATTTCGTGAGGCCCAGGGGGCTCCATGGTGCACACTCTGGCTCCAGGGGTCATCCTGGCAAGGCTGCCAGTGTGCCTCTGTGGAGAGTGGAGTCCAGGTGCCCCCAGCGGTTGCGGCTTGTCGTCTGAGGCTCCCTGAGGGCCAGTGAGCCAAGGATCCCCATTGCAGGCTTACAGCAGGGTCATCCCAGGGAGCCAGGGATCCCCATTGCGGGCTTACAGCAGGGTCATCCCAGGGAGCCAGGGATCCCCATTGCGGGCTTACAGCAGGGTCATCCCAGGGAGCCGGGGATCCCCATTGCAGGCTTACAGCAGGGTCATCCCACCTGGGTTCTGTTTCGTCTTGTTTTTGTTTGGTTTTTTTCGAGACAGGGTTTCTCTGAATGTCCTGGAACTCACTCTGTAGCCCAGGCTGGCCTCAAATTCATAGAGATCCGCCTTCCTCTGCCTCCAGAGTGCCAGGATTAAAGGTGTGTGTCACCATTGCCCAGCTTTCCACACTGGTTTTTCTGTCAGGACTTGAGAACTCAGGTCCATATGTTTACAGCAAGACTTTACCCGCTCGGCAGTCTCTGAGAACACTTGACCAGGTGTAGCAATGTCCTAAGGCCCCAAGGCTACCAAGATACCTGGGAAGTGATGTGGGTGCTCTAGGTCAACCTTGGGCTCCCCGGACTGTGCTTGGGTGGGCCAAGGGGGGAAATGGGTATGGGAGACACATGTGGGTCACCCTGGTTTGAACCTCCAGTCACTGGGGTCCACCTGTCTTTCCACACCTCTCTCTCCAGAGTTCTCCACAGCCCACTTAGCATTCAGGAATAGATTAATCACTGAAAACACATTTACTGAGCACATTTACTATGCCCCGTGCTCCCTGCCAAGACCTGCCTCCCATCCCTCCATCCTCTCCCCTCCCTCCTGTACCCACAGATCAGAGCTGTGCCACCCCCAGCACCATGTCCAGCAGGCATGGCAGCACATGCCTTTCATCCCAGCATTCAGGAGGCGGAGGCAGGATCAGGTCAGCCTGATTCAAAAAACAAAACCCAAAGACAAGCAACCAAAAAACTGGAGGAAAAGAACTAGCAGGAAGTGGGTCAAGGAAGTTCTCCTGAGCCTGGAGCTTTACACTCAGAAAGGCCTCTGGCTTCCAGAAGTCACCGCAGTCACGCAAAGGCCCTGTGGCTTGGCCTCGTTGCAGGGGCCAGGTTGATCTCTGAGTTCAGAGCCAGACACCAGGCTACATCTGTCCCCACCCAAGGGAAGGTCTCACCTAAGCCAAGGTCCCCAGCAGGGAGCCTGGCGCTCGGAGGAATATTGGGAGCTGTTGTGGAGTGCCAGGAGCTGCAGGAACTGATGGGGTTCAGAGCACAAAGCTCAAGTAGGGCTTGGCAGCAGATGAGAAGTCTAAGGTCGCCAGACAGTGGCGGCAGCCAGCTTTAACCCCAGCACTCAGGAGGCAGAGGCAGGAGGACCCAGCTGAGTTCCAGGATAGCCTGGGCTACGCGTAGAGACCTTGTCTCAAACATCACAAAAACTTTAAAAACCCATCAAGACTAAGATGCAGTCCAGGGCCCAGGAGAGGACCTGGTGCTCTGTTTTGGACTTAGGCTGTTGTCCTGCAGGGAGAGGAGCTGTGGTGACCTGTGGTGACCTGTGATGACCTGTGGTGAACTGTGTGGCCCTGCCCTGGGTCCTTTGTGCATGCACCTCCCACTACTGTCCCCTCCCTCCAACCTGTCCCTCCTGTCCTGAGGCTCCAACAACTGGCCTTTCTGTGGCCCTTGCTCCAAGCTTTTCCCATCCCCAGGCCCAATTTTTGCTTTTTTTCTCCCTGTTTATTGGTTTCTTGTGTTTCTGTCCTCACCCTGGTTCACAAGGCCTCTTCAGGATGATTTTGGGGTTCCAGCCAGTCACAGTTGACACACGCCTGTCATCTCATAGTTGGGAGGCTGAGGCAGGAGGATTATGACCGAGTCAAAGGTCAGGCTGTGTGATATGAAACCCTGCCTGGAAAAAGGGGGGAAAAAGTGAAAATACATAAGAAATGAATTAAGGGGTGGAGGGGTCAACTCCAGGCACAAGAGGGTCCCCAAGTCATGTATAACCAGAAGAGGGCAGAACCGGGGTGCTGGGGAGGCAGAAACAGGGTCTCTTTGCATCACTTCTGTGCCCTGGTGTTGGGTATACAACTGGTGCTCCATAAATACCCACCAGGCAGTTGAGTGACTGCATGAGTGTGGGGCTGAGTTCTGGAGGGGAGCCTGGGCTCTTTAACTCCAGACTTTGGGTGCTGTGGCGCTTGAGGAGGGTCAGGGACCAAGGCCACAGCACCTCATCCCTGGGAAAGTCCCTGCCATGAAGGCCTCACATGGCCACACTCAGGCCGCTTATGCAGGAAGACAGGGACATCCTGGTTGGTCAGGACAATGGGTTTCAGAACAGGAAGTGGAGGCCAGCAGCTGGCTGCCCCAGGTGGCGGCTCAATAGGAATCGGGATGGCCAGGATAGGCCACAGCTGTGCCCCCGCCAGTCCTGCGGAAGTCTGTCCACGCTCTCAGCTTCACTCCTGAGCCAAGGAGTTCAATTTGGCTTTGTCCATGGGGAAAGCAAGGCCCAGAGAGAGTCAGCACTCCTCTGGAGTCACACAGCCCCCAAACCAAACAGAGACTCCAGACTTTGTTATTGAGAATTCCCTGTTGTCTAGTGTCAGTTAGGAAACAACCCCTGGGCCTTCAGTCCTGGTCTGCTGGAGGAAGCTGACCTTGAACTTCTGACCCCCCCCCAAGTGCTGGGGAGGCAGGTGTGCCGTGTCTGGTGTGTGTGGTGCCCTCAGGTGTGGGGCCACGCTGGGGACTGACCGTCCTCTCCTGCTGTGTGAGTGGACTTTGATGGGACAGATTCCACCCACCATTGTCCATTCTTCTCCGCCTGGGCCACTCAGGAGGGCTGTGCTCTTTGCAGAATGACATTGGCCCAAGTGACGAAATGGGTTCACATGGCGGGCGCCCTGTGTCAACAGCCCTGTCTGGGCCCTGGCCAGTACACCGCAGGGGTATTGAACGCTGGGGGAAGGGAAGCTGCCCAGCCATCCTTGTGCCCCTGACCGCTAAGGCCAAGGAGAGGATGGTGAGAGTAGGGGCTGCCTGGAGTCTGGGTTCACACAAAAGCCGGCTTTGTAGAGGAATCGGGGTGAGTGGGCTGGAGGGTGGGCACTGCTGGCCTGGCCATGAAGCATGGCCCACCAAGGCCCAAGGGCCTGGTCTCAATACAGCCTCTGTGTGTCCTCGGCACTTCCAGAGGGGCCACGGGTCCCCAGGAACACAGCAGAAGAGGGGTCAGGCCCTGACTTCCCTATGTGTTTCGGGGGTGGAGGGGGTGGTCGCAGCCATCCAGCCCTGTGTGGCTCAGAGGGAGTACCCAACAGGAGTCAGGGGCTCTGGGTACTGGGAGGTGTGTAGGAGTTTATTAGGTAAGAGGCATGAGAAGTCTCAGTTGTGTTGAGTACTTCTGTTGGGGAAAATTCTAGAACTGCTTGCACCTGCTTGTCCCTTTGGTCGCTTGTCAGCTCAAATGTCTTCAACGTCCAGTGAAGGAACAGTCTCATCTGGCGAGCTGGCGAGTAGGGGTGGTGCCGAGCCTCAAGCATTCCCGCAGTCTCATCTGGCGAGCTGGCGAGTAGGGTGGTGCCGAGCCTCAAGCATTCCCGGGACCTGAATGTTGTGTCTGTCATCCCACAGGGCCATGGACACCTTCAGCACGAAGAGCCTGGCCCTGCAGGCCCAGAAGAAAGTGCTCAGCAAGATGGCCTCTAAGGCCATGGTGGCCGTGTTCGCGGACGACACCAGCAGCGAGATCCTGGACGAACTGTACCAGGCCACCAAGGAGTTCACCCGCAGCCGGAAGGAGGCACAGAGGGTGGTGAAGAACCTGGTGAAGGTGGCCGTGAAGCTAGCCGTGCTGCTGCGGGCGGGTCAGCTGGACGGGGACGAGCTGGCCCAGCTGCGAAGGTTCCAGGGCCGCATGCGCAGCCTGGCCATGACGGCCCTCAGCTTCCACCAGGTGGACTTCACCTTCGACCGGCGCGTGCTGGCCGCGGGGCTGCTGGAGTGCCGGGACCTGCTGCACCAGGCCACCGGCCCTCACCTCACTGCCAAGTCCCACGGCCGCATCAACCACGTCTTCGGCCACTTAGCCAACGGCGACTTCCTGGCCGCGCTGTACGGCCCAGCGGAGCCGTATCGGAGCCACCTGGGCCGCATCTGTGACGGCCTTGGAAGAATGTTGGACGAGGGCGGCATCTGACCTGGCCTGGAGACCTCTCCAGAACATCAGTGTTCGTCCCAGCTTTGCTCCTTTCTACTTCCGAGAAGCTGTCTTGTAGTCCAGCCTGACCCCAGACTCTACGGGGCGAGGCTGACCTTGAACTGATGCTGCTCCTGCTGCCTCCTGAGTGCTGGGGTCACACCGGTGTGCTCCACCATCTCATTGTTGGGTACTGTCATTCTTTCAGATAAGGTCATGGAGACTCGGGAGTAAAAAATTGTACTCCCCAAGCCCTGCTCCCTGCCCCCTGCCAAATGTTTATGTTCATTTCCTAACTCTCAGGGCTTCCCAATGTGACTCACTTTAGGAAATGGAGTTCAAGCCCTGGCACCAGTCTAGGGCTGAAGGGATCCCAGCCCGTCATGTGGGCTGGGGATGAGCACACTTCCGTGTTGGGATCTGGAGGAGACCCCATCTGGAGACTGCATCCAGGACCTAAGAGCAGGAAGAAGCCGTCCCTGAGGTGGCTCAGTGAGTCGTGACGGGAGCTCAATCCCCAAAACCACACAGTGGAAGCAGAGAACCAGTCAGCAAGGAGCGACTGAGCTGGTGGGAATGCTGGAGTCCTCACTGGGAGGGAGGAACCTGGGGACCTCAGAAGCTGTCCCCAGCTTCAGCAGGGCAGGGCTGCTGGAGATACATGTCTGTGTTAAATTATAATGCCGTATTTGGGAAACAAACCCATCTTTTCTCTTTGTATGACAGCCAGGACTTGTAACCAACCCTGACCACACATGTGGGAGCTTAACCTTATGGTCACTATGAGACAGACTTTTATCCTTGGTAAGGTGGTCAGGCTTCAGTAACGTGTGTGCACAGCTGAGGTGTGGGTTAGTGCTCTAGAATCCCCAGTAAGGGATTGGGGGCGTGGCCAGTGTGAAGCCCCGCCTAGAACCCCTAGTGAGGACAGTGCCTCTGCACTTTGCCGGGGTTCTGCAATGCTGCAGGTGTTAAGGTGATCTGGGAGATGGGGAGGACACACAACACCCACAGCTGTGAGTATTTAGGACAAAGTTTACAACCTGCATCCTGTGGGGCCTGGTTGGGGGTCACAGAGGCTTTATTAGTGTTTCAAATGTGGCCAACACAGAGATTCTATCAACAACTACTGATTGTTAATATTTGTTGTTTTCAAGGGGTCAGGTCCTGGAAGCCTCCCTCTCTCACACCAGCTCCACAGGGAAACTCCTCTCACTTTAGGCCCTGGGCCAGATCTTGAAACTGGGACACCAACATGCATGCCGCTGTCCCCAGATGAAACCCTCATGCTGACCAGATGGACCAATGAGGGGAACAGACTGAGATTTGCGGGGCTGTGGTCCTAAGGGTGAGATGAAAAGGAAAGCCAGAGCACACGAGGGACATATTCCTTTATTATTTTGTGTCACTGGGTTTGGTATGCCATACGGAGCCTCGGCCATCAAGCTAACCTTATTTCCTTTTTAGGTTTAGATTCTCAGGGTGACCTGGACTTCACAATCCTCCTGCCTCAACTGCTTGAATGCTTGGGATCACAGGCCTATGCTAGAAAAAATATTTAAAGGTGCCACCGTGTGGCTGGTGACATGGGTAGAGGTGCTTGCTGCCACGCCCACCACCCAGAGTCTATGTCAGAGGCCCTAAGGAGGCAGCTCCTCCCCTGCCAGCCCCTCCCCGACCAGGTTCCACCGTGTTCCCTTGGCTCCGCACAGGCTGGTGGCCTCACTGGCCTCCTGTGTTTGAGGCACTAGGTTCATGCTGAGCATCATAAAATTTTTTCTCAGGGGCTGGAGAGATGGCTCAGCGGTTAAGAGCATTGTCTGCTCTTCCAAAGGTCATGAGTTCAATTCCCAGCAACCACATGGTGGCTCACAACCATCCATAATAAGGTATGGTGCCCTCTTCTGGCCTGCAGGCATACACACAGACAGAATATTGTATGCATAATAAATAAATAAATATTAAAAAAAAAAAAAAAATTTTTCTCAGAAATTTAAGATTAAATATTAAAGGGCCATTGTGTCCCGGCGCCCAGTTCTAACTGCTCTGTATTCTTGCAAACAGCTGGGGACCCTCAAAGGTACATGGGGTGAGCCAGGCAGTCAGTGACCTCACTTCATCCTGGGTCCTTTCACACCGAGGGGCGTGAGGCTAGGACTATGTCACCTACACCCAGGTACTGGAGCCCCGAGCCTCGGGCCCCTCAGACAACGCTGATGGCTATGTCCTTCTGGGGCACATGCAGCATGGGAAGTCCTCAGTTTCCACTCAGTGTCCTAAAGGTCAACTCCCCTGTATTGAAGCAGGGTTCCACTGTACAGTCTGAGCTATCCTGGAACTCACTACACAGCCTAGGCTAGCCTCCCATTCACAGAGGGTCCCCTCCTTGAAGCTGAGGGTAGCAGGAGGCTGTTTAGTCCACGCAATGGGACGCCACCCCTAAACAATGGGGGACCGCAGCACCCTACAGGCCTGTGTCAGGTACAGGCCTGCCTGGCAGCCCCAGACTCTCACTTGGTATTTGGCCAGAGGTCAGGACCAAGGTCAAAGCTGGGGGGCCAAGGGATCCCTCTGAAAACCTTTTAGCTTACATAGGTTTCTTTGGCTGCAGGTTATTTTTGTTTCTAATGATTTCTTACTGTGGCTGGGAAGGTGGCTCAACAGAGCACTGGCTGCTCTTGCAGAGGACCCAGGTTCGATTCCCAGCACCCACAGGTGGCTCACAATCACCTGTGATTCTAGATCCAGGGGACCCGAAACCCCATTCTGGCCTCCGTGGGCACAGAAATGACACAGACACAAAACTCCCCATGAAGGGCTGGGGGCCGTGTGATAGTCGCTCTTGGGGGAGACACATGCCTATGCCTGCTGCTGCTACCATGGAAGGCAGTGGAATCCAGGCTTGAGTCCTGAGCCCAGAGAACCCCAGCTGGGGTGGTGTTTATTGGTTTATTTGCTCCGTCTCTTCCCCTCCTTTTGAATGGAGGTGCCTTGGGTGGGTAAGAAACAGTCCCGGGGATGGGGCGCTCACCTGCAGCTCAGAGGGGGAACCACACCTGACTTGCGCAAAGCCAGGCCCCCTCCCCCGGGCCCCCAGCATGCCCTGCACCTGGGGAGATGGGTGACAGGCTCAGAGTTCAGCAGTGCTGCAGTGTGAGCTGCAGACAGGGCAACACCAGCGTCCCAGACAAGTAGTGGGCAGTGCGCCCAGGCAGGCGGGGGTCACAGCTCCGAGCGTGCTGCCTTGGCTACGATCACAAGCTTGGAGAGCTCAGACTTGAAGGCCCCAGGCCTGTGAGACACTGCAAGACACAAGCACATTTGGGCCCTGACAAGATGCCACATGAAATGCTGGAACTGGGGCAGTGCCAGCAGAGGGCACGGCAGGGCGGGAGGGGAATGAAAGTGGAAAACTGCAGAGCCAGGCACCGGGACAGGCTTGCCAATGTAGCTACTCTGAAGCCCCACCTAGAACCCCTCCAGTGGGGAGCTAGGGGCGTGGCCAAGGAGAACCCCCATAAGTCCCCCAGTGAAGCCTGGAATAGGTTCTTTTGAGGACATGGACCCACTTCCCTGGGCTCTGCCAGTGTCTCCCTCACCAGGTCCTCAGAGCCTGACACTCCAGATTGGGGAGCTCTGCTTTCTACAGCAGCTGCCTTGGACCCACTGCCGCAGAGGCAGACCAGTGCAGGTGAGGATCTAGGATATCACCACCCAAACCGACTGGCACAGCTGTGGCACAGGGTCCACGCTGCAAGAGGCTTCTCTTTAGCCCACCACCCATCCTTAGCGTAGTCGCGAGGCCCCCTGCCAGGAGCTGCATGCCTTCCGCCTGCTGGGTCCCATCTTCACCTACCTGCTGTCTTGGCCACTTCAAATTCCTCGTTTTTAAGGGGGACATCACTCTCTCTCTCAAACGCAGCTTTGGACTGAAAGAGAACAGGACACTTCAGTAGACACAGAGAGAGGGAAGCCCTCGAGTCCCCTCGGTTTGTCTCCTGAGCTCTGTGGTCTAAAGCCAGGCATTCCCAGCAGGGATCCCAGGAGGGTCAGCTCACAGGTAACAGCCTCAGTGTCACCTGGGTTCCCAGTAACACTCCTGAGGAGGCTGCTACACGGCTCTAGTATGCTGAGCCTGTCATTGGCTGACTTGAGGGACAGGAGAAGACCGAGGCTACCCTGCTCCACCCTGGCTCCTCCCATTTTTCCACAGGGTGCCTCTACTGCCAACCTCCCCATTTTTCTGGCCTCCTGGGGCAAAGGAGGTCTATGTAGAGGGATGGGCCAGAAGCCCACATTGTAGGCCTTCTGCTGAGGGCCCCAACTCATGTGGGAGCCCTGGGGTCAGTGGGATGGCTGAGTCCCTTGCAGTGAATGGTATCTGGAGACCCCTTCTGTCCTCAGGTCCCCGAGACTGGCACTCACGTAGGCCATGGCATACTCGATCTCAGCACCCCGGACTTCAGCCTTGAACTGTGTGAAGTACAGGTAGGACTTCCCCTGAGGCCTGTGGGGAGACAGTCAACGCTGGTGGGACCCAGTCGAGGCCCCAGAAAGAGCCTGATGACGTGGGACTCCATGGTAGGAATCTCCAGGAAGGTGAAGTCAGAGATGGGAAGGAGCTCTGTGTGTGCCGGGGATGAAGGGGAGGGGACAGCCCCTGGGGTAGGAGAGATGGGGTGTCTGGTAGCCCAAGCTGGCCAAGGCTAGCCTTGAGCTCCTGATCCCCTTGCCTCTGCCTCCCAGAGCTGGTGATTAAGAGAAACAGCAGCTGACTGTACATCACAGAAGGCAGGGCTCTATCTCAATTTTTAAAATTTGCCAAAAAGCACTGTGGTGATTTCCTGCTCTGTGACCTAACTCCCAGCTCCCTGCCCTCCTCCCATCCCCTTCCTGGTGCTGTGGTGTTAATACACACACTGGCAGCTTCCCCAAGGTCACAGGGCCACTCTCCAGTCTGTTCCCTACTTGTCCTGAATCAAATGTGGCGTGCACATGCACAGTGTCTGCAGGACCCCCCCCCAGCCCCAGCCCCGTGCATACACAGTGTCTACAGGACCCCCCCCCAGTCCCGTGCATACACAGTGTCTGCAGGACCCCCCCAGTCCCGTGCATACAGTGTCTGCAGGACCCCCCCCAGCCCCAGCCCCGTGCATACACAGTGTCTGCAGGACACCCCCCCCAGCCCCAGCCCCGTGCATACACAGTGTCTGCAGGACACCCCCCCCCAGTCCCGTGCATACAGTGTTTGCAGGACCCACCCCTAGTCCCGTGCATACACAGTGTCTGCAGGACCCCCCCCCCCCAGTCCTGTGCATACACAGTGTCTGCAGGACCCCCCCAACTCCATGCATACACAGTGTCTGCAGGACACACCCCCAGCCCCATGCATACACAGTGTCTGCAGGACACACCCCCAGCCCCATGCATACACAGTGTCTGCAGGACACCCCCATCCACCCATACATACGCCAGTGGCTGCGGCTCACCTCCAGATGGTACAAGTGAAGTGCTGACTATCTTCGCTCGTCCCCAGGCTCATCTGCCATTGCTGGGGAGAAAGGATAGGCTTGTTGAGCAAGGACAGGTGGGCCTCTCTGCAAGGCCGCCACACACACTGCCCTACAGTGGATCAAGACACTGCCCATGTCCCCTTTTTCCCATAAAGGACGACATCCTGAGAATGGCTCCCAGCTTAGCAACAGTGAGATCCTGTCTAAAAGCTAGATAAGGGTTGGGGCCTGTGGGTCAGTGTCTAGCATGGGGCCCTGGCTCCATCCCCAGAAACAGGGCACAGTGAAGCATGTCTGTCACCCCAGCACCCGAGACAATCAGGAGTTAGCCTTGGCTACATAGGAAGCTAGCCTGGGCTACACGAGACACCCTGTTTCAAAAAACCAAAAACAATACAGGCACAGTGGTGCATTCAGGAGCCAGAGGCAGATAGCTCTGTGAGTTCAAGGCCAGCCTGGGCTACACTGTAAATCCAAGGCCAGCCAGGACTACACTATGAAAGCCTGTTTCAAACAATGACCAGGGCTGAGATGGCTCTGCACCTAAGAGCGCAGGCCACTCTTTCAGAGGACACAGGTTTTGTTGCAGAACCACACGGAGGCTCACAGCCACCTGTAACTCGTTACAGGGAACCTGATGCCTTTTTTTGGTCTCCACACACACCAGGATATGCAGCTGGTGCACAGGCATTCATGCAAGCAAAACACCATACACATAAAACAATTAAAATTAAATCACAACAAAAACCCTAGCCAACTAGTTCTCACAGCAAGTATCCCCAGCCCTGGGGCTCCCATTACTGCTCTCCATGGCTTCAAAGAAGCGGTTTTCCAATGCTAAGGCAGGCCATGTTTACATCAATTACAAGGGGACCCTGTGGCCGCTTGGCTACATTCTGCCTGAAAGGTAAGCCGTGAGCCCCAACTGCACTCACGCCAGGGTTAAACTTCTGGCTCTGGGTCAGTCCACAGACACACTAATCCCGAACTGGCAGGCTACTCCAGGGCCTCTGTGCCCAGAAACAGCCCATCCGAGAAATGCTGCTAAGAGGTCCATGCCTTGCTTTTCCATTAGAACAGGGTCTCCTGTAGCCCAGGGCATTTTTAAAAAAATATTTATTTATTTATTATGTATACAATATTCTGTCTGTATGCCTGAAGGCCAGAAGAGGGTGCCAGACCTCCTTACAGAGGGTTGTGAGCCACCATGTGGTTGCTAGGAATTGAATTCAGGACCTTTGGAAGAACAGGCAATGCTCTTAACCACTGAGCCATCTCTCCAGCCCCCACCCAGGGTATTCTTGACGGTGACTTTGAATTCCTGATCCTCCTGCCTCAGCGCAGAGTGCTGTCACCCGCCTGCTACTGGCCCCTCTTATATTCATTTAATCTCAGGCACAGCCAATCCCTAAACCCACTGACAAAATAAAGTGGGAATTTTCCTTTCCCGGGACCATTCACGTTAAAACGCAATCAGTGAGGCCAGGTCCTCACCACCATGCGTTAGACCCTCTGCCCCATCAACGACAAGGGAAGTCTGGTGCTCAGCTCCCCCTGACTCCCTCCCGGTCCCAGCACATCCACTTCCTCACTGAGCGCAGTGTTTCTGAGGTTCCATCTGGCCGTGGCAGGTCAGGCCATGCTCCACTCCGTGTAATGGAAATTGTCACTGTCATTTGTCCCTTGAGCTCCCTGAAGCTGGCTCTGAAGTGGGATCTGCATTTGTTTCCAAGGTCTTGGGGGAGCACTGATCCCAGCCTGTAGCCGGCAGCAATGGCTACAGCAGAACAGCCGAGCTGACTGAAGCCTGCTGAGCAGCTAGCCACACAGACGCTGTCCTGAGGACCTGCTGTCCTGGTTCGTTTCATGTCAACTTGACACAAGCTGGAGCTACCAGAGAGAAAGGAGCCTCGACTGAGAAAACGCTTCCAGAAGATCTTGCTGCAGCCAGCCTGTAGGGCGTTTTCTTAATCAGTGACTGACGGGGAGCGTCCAGCCCACTGTGGAGGTGCCATCCCAGGCTGGTGGTACTGGGTTCTATAAGAAAGCAGGCTGAACAAGCCATGGGAAGCAAGCCAGTGAGCAGTACCCTCCACGGCCTCTACGCCCACTCCGCCTCCGGGTTCCTGCCCTGTGTGACTTCCTTTAATGATGAACGGCAGTGTGGTAGTGTAAGCCGAATAAACCTTTTTGTCCCCAACTTGCTTTGGCCATGGTGTTTTTTCACGGCAATAGAAACCCTGACTAGGACACCCAGGTTCAGTCCCCAGCACCCACAGCGTAGCCCACAAACACTCATAACTCCAGCTCTAGGGAATCTCAGTGGGCAACACACACACGTATACACATTCACAAACCTTACTATACATACATGTTAAAAACTATGTGTTTTTAAATCATACCTACAGCGGGAAAGAGGCCGGACGCTTGTCGTGGGGCTGCTAGCAGATGCCAGCTGACGGCCATCTTGCACCTACTGCTAGTTTGTTACTGACTGAAGGTCTGTAGAGACAGCTCAGTGGTTAGAGCACTGGCTGCTTTTGTAGAGGAGCTGGGTTCAATTTCCAGCATCCACATGGCAGTGCACAACCCTCCATACCTGGTCCTGGAAGTCAGACACTCCCTTCTGGCCTCTGCTGGGTACCACGAGCACCTGGCTGAAGGTGTAGGCCTTCTGCAGCCTCTCTCTCCTTTACTCTCACTTGCTATATCCATGCTCAACGCACTCCACGCCACAAGCAGGGCTGCTATCCCTGTCCATGCGCAATGCTGCTCACAGGTGCTGGGCTGTGCATGCCTGTCCGTCCATGGACACTGAGCCACTTCCACTCACTGGCTGGCCCCATGGAAAGCTCTGCGCAGACCACTCATGTGCAAGGTACCATAGCCACCACTATGTCCCGTAAATGACCGGCTCTGGCTCCCATGGTGCACAGGCATCTCTAACTGTATGGCGATTGGCCTTAATGCTACCTATCCTGCATTCTATGGTAGGGGGATGGTCTTGCTGGGAGTTTGCCCCCTTGCCAGCTCACAGGCTGACCTGAGGACTGTCCCAGGCTGACCGCTCAGGCAAGCCTCCTAAGGCACAGACCATCTTGAAATAACAAAGATTCCACTGCCCACGGGTAGTGACACTGTCATCTAGCACTCAGGACGCTGAGGCAGGTGGAGCAGGGATACATGATAAGATTCTGTCAAAAAGCACCAACAAATTTGACAAAAACAAATTGACAAATAAAAACCACAGTGTTCACTGATCACACAGGGATCAATAGAACCACAGTGCTCACTGATCACACAGGGATCAATAGAACCACAGTGCTCACCGATCACACACGAATCAACATCAATAGAACCACAGTGCTCACTGATCACACACAGGTCAATAGAACCACAGTGCTCACTGATCACACACAGATCAACATCAATAGAACCACAGTGCTCACTGATCACACACAGATCAATAGAACCACAGTGCTCACTGATCACACACAGATCAATAGAACCACAGTGCTCACTGATCACACACGGATCAATAGAACCACAGTGCTCACTGATCACACACGGATCAACATCAATAGAACCACAGTGCTCACTGATCACACACAGATCAACATCAATAGAACCACAGTGCTCACTGATCACACACAGGTCAATAGAACCACAGTGCTCACTGATCACACACAGATCAACATCAATAGAACCACAGTGCTCACTGATCACACACAGATCAATAGAACCACAGTGCTCACTGATCACACACGGATCAACATCAATAGAACCACAGTGCTCACTGATCACACACAGATCAACATCAATAGAACCACAGTGCTCACTGATCACACACGGATCAATAGAACCACAGTGCTCACTGATCACACACGGGTCAATAGAACCACAGTGCTCACTGATCACACACAGATCAACATCAATAGAACCACAGTGCTCACTGATCACACACAGATCAACATCAATAGAACCACAGTGCTCACTGATCACACACGGATCAATAGAACCACAGTGCTCACTGATCACACACGGATCAACATCAATAGAACCACAGTGCTCACTGATCACACACAGATCAACATCAATAGAACCACAGTGCTCACTGATTACACACGGATCAATAGAACCACAGTGCTCACTGATCACACACGGATCAATAGAACCACAGTGCTCACTGATCACACACAGATCAACATCAATAGAACCACAGTGCTCACTGATCACACACGGATCAATAGAACCACAGTGCTCACCGATCACACACGGATCAATAGAACCACAGTGCTCACTGATCACACACAGATCAACATCAATAGAACCACAGTGCTCACTGATCACACACGGATCAATAGAACCACAGTGCTCACCGATCACACACGGATCAACATCAATAGAACCACAGTGCTCACTGATCACACACGGATCAATAGAACCACAGTGCTCACTGATCACACACGGATCAATAGAACCACAGTGCTCACTGATCACACACGGATCAATAGAACCACAGTACTCACTGATCACACACGGATCAATAGTCAGGGACTGGCACTGTAGGTCACTGGCTCCATGAGGCAAAAGCCAAGGCAGCCCGGGGTCCTTTCAGGCTCTTGTGACTGAGAATCCAGTGCTTTCCGCTACAACACTGAGCTACTGCTGTCCTTGCTGCAGTGGGAGGGAGGCAGCTCCAGTGCAGCCAGGAGCACCACAGGCTTCCCCCACCCTCCTGCAGTGGTAACTGGGCTCACCCGCAGGGACTGGGACAGGATGCAGCGGGGATGCCCTGACTGCTCCTTCACGTAGGTCACGAGGGGTCATCCCGGACTCTGAACCACGAATGACGGACTGACAAGGTACCTCTTTTCTGGAGTGAGGAAGAGTCTCACAGGAATGGCAGCTCAAGGCTGTCAGTCAACTCCTGAGAGATGGGAGGCAGGGGAGTGCCCAAAGACTGAGGTCAGCCTGGAAAACATGGAAGGCTGGTTCATCTAGGCTGCACTGTGATCCTGCCTATGCACAACATGGGGCTGGGAGGTGGCTCCGAGGCTAAGAGGACTGGCTGCTTTGCCAACACGCCATGGCAGCGCACAGCTGTTTGTACCTTCAGGTCCAGGAGCCGTGTCTCCCTCTTGCGGTCTCCAGGGGCACCAAGCACATATGTGGTACATAGACACCATGCAGGCACAACACCCATACATACTAAAAAAATAATAAATCTTTTCCAAAATTCAAAAAGAATGCTGGGCGGTGGTAACGCACACCTTTAATCCCAGCACTCAGGAGGCAGAGGCAGGCGGATCTCCGAGTTCAAAGCCAGCCTAGTCTACAGAGAGAGTTCTAGGACGGGGCCCCAAAGCTACTGAGAAACCCTGTTTTGGGGGGAAAAATTCAAAAAGAAAGAAAATGCACTGAACCTGCACTGTCTCTGTGCTGATTGCCAAGAACACGCCTACACGTGAAAGAGGCCACGTCCCGACACCAGCTGCCTGAGACCCCAAGTGACTCACCTCATTGGTCCCTCCTTGGGAAGCATATGTGAATGTACATGTAAACTTGCCCTGGAAAAGAGAAAGAGAAGGAGGCTGAAGAGCCGGTGTCTCACTGCGCAGAATCAAGACCCCAGCATGCTGGGCGTGGGGCTGCATGCCCATCACCTCAGCGAAGGTGAAACCAAATAGGAGTCATGTTGACCGAACTGTTAATAAGCCTCCATGCATAAATCTCTGATTCCTAAGCCAAATGTATCCTGGGAAACACACTTTTCAACCTATGCTGAACTCCTGAACGCCTGTGACAACTCTCTTTCCACACAGTGTGTTCTCACATTGGTCTACCTCGATCCCCGAGTGCCCCATTATCTCAACAGCTGTTTTCTATAAATCCTAATGCTTCTCTATAAAAAAAAGGACCTCAAAAGCCAGTGAGGGGGAGGCAGTTGCTGACCAGTCAGTCCCTTGTGCACTTTTAAATATAGCTTGCTTTAATCAGATGGTTGTCAGAATGCTCCCTCTCTGGGTTTAACAGCAACCAAGGAAGCCAAGGCAGGAGAACTGCAAGATGACGGCCGGTCTTGGTGACCGAAGGTAAAACAGTAGAGAGAGGCCTTGAACGTACATCTGCAGTAGAGCTCTGGCTGGAGCTGGGGTAGAACCCTAGCCTGTGTGAGACCCTAGGTTCCATCTCAGTAGCATAGAAAAGAAAAAGAACTTTGCATAATCCTTGGGGGGTGGGGTGGGATGGGAGTGTTTCCTGGGAAGGTCACGTGGCCTACAGCAGTCACCGTTTAGAATACTGGCCTTGGATTCAGTACCTGGGAGTGCCTGACACACACGAGCCTTTGTTACTTCCTTCCTGCAACACAATCCTGCCAGGAAGCTCTGGGCTACAAGAGTGTTCTCAAGTCGGGCTGTGGTAGCCCACGCCTTTAACCCCTGCACTCGGGAGGCAGAGGCAGGCAGATCTCTGTGAGTTAGAGGGCAGCCTGGTCTACAAGAGCTAGTTCCAGGACAGGCTTCAAAGCTACAGAGAAACCCTGTCTCAAAAAACAAAAAACAAACAAGCAAAAGCAAAAAATAAGAATGTTCTCAGGAAATGGTCAAAAGGGTGTTTCCTTTCTGGTCCTAGCTCACGAGCAACCCTCTCGGGACCTGCATAGCGAAGTGAAGTCTCTTGAGACCCAGGGCTCTCAGCACCCAGAATCCCGTTTTCCAGAATGTGCTGGACGAGGGGAGAGTGCCGTGAAGGAAGGAAGTGCTTGACAGGCGGCGACGGAGGCAGCCACGCCCCTCTGAGTAGCCGGTCTCCGGGTAACCCCGCCCCTGCCATTCCGACGGGCGCCGGGACGAACCGGTACTGGCTCCGTCCAATCCCGGCAGTGCCCGGTCGGCGATGCCCCCGAGGGAGGCTCGGCACTCACCCCAGGCCCTACGTCCTGGGAGAAGGAATGGACGACGCCTCCGGGCCTCACGTCAAACGGCACGGTGGTGGGCTCGGACACGGCGCCCGCCAACGCCAGTGCCGCGGTCACCAGGAGCAGCGCGGTCCAGAGGGCTCCGCTGGGCGCCGCCATCTTGGTTCCGGGCCACTGCGCAGGCGCCCGCCGACGGGGCGCGGCGAGGGACACGTGGAGCGTCCTGCGCCGGACGCGTCGTCGCGATTCATTGACGCACACGTCGCAGCTTTGGCAGCCGTGTTGGGGCGGGTCACAACTCGGCACGTGATGCCAGACGGCGCCTCTGATTGGCGGCCTCGATGAATGGAGAAAATTCGTGTCGGTGCTGCAGGGGTAACATCTGCCTTTTTCCGGCTCAAGTTCGGGTTCCCCATATAAAAATGCCTGACGTCATTGTAATTAGGGTGCAAAAGCTATTCCGGTATTTTTACATTTATATCTTATTTAAATGGACTCGAGGTCTCCACCTTTCAGGCAGCATGGGGTTTGTGTTTTATTTTGTTAGAGTATCTTTAGTAGTTTCAATTTTTAATTAACTTGTTGATTATTTTTAGTTTTGTAACTTATTTTACTTCAGTTTATAGTTTAAGTTTAATTTAATTTTTTTTTCAAGACAGGGTTTCTCTGTAGCTTTGGAGCCTGTAATGGAACTTGCTATATAGACCAGGATGGTTTTGAACTCACAGAGATCCACCTGCCTCTGCCTCCCGGGTGTGCGCCACCACCACCTGCTTAAAAATATTTTATTGTGGGGTCTGGAGAGATGACTCAACAATTAAAGGCACTGGCTGGTCTTGCAGAGGACCCAGGTTTGAGTCCCAGAACCCACATGTCGGTTTATAATCTAACTCCATATCCAGGGGATCCGACGTCCTCTTCTGGCCTCTGGAGGCACCAGGCACGCATGTGGTGCACAGAGCAGGTGGAACATACACTCACACACAGAGTAAAATAAATGTGTTTATTCTATTTTTCCGATGGCTCGTTTTATGTCAGGATGGCCTTGAACTCCTGATTCTTCTGTCTGCCCCTCTCCAGTGCTGGGATGACAGCTGGGATGGAAACCAGGGCTTTTGTGTGCTAAGTGATTGCCCTGACCCCTGCGCCCCGGCACCAGTTTTATGTGGTCTATGGCTGAAGAGCAGGCTCTGTGGCCTCAAGTGGCTGTTCACTTACAGGATCCTGCAGGTGTTATCAGGACAGAAGGAGGCTGTCCCAGCGCAGGGGACAGAGGACTCCTCCACTTTCGCAGCTTCCTGTGTGTGTCACAGGCGTTGCTTAGCTCTCCTGGGGCTAGAATATGGGGCCTTCAGCAAGCCTGGCCAGCCCTGTGCTGCCGAGCAATATTCCCAGCTTTCTGATGGTTAAAAATGAGACTTAAGTCGGTCGGCGAGATGGATGAGTAACAGGGAAGGGGCTTGCTGCCAAGACTGCTGACTGGTGCTTCAGGCCCTGGGGAACTAACTAGACGGTGACAGAAGTGACTCCTGCAAGTTCTCCTGACTGCATGTGAGCTGGGCAAGCAGCCGTGCGCAACAGTGCACAACAGGAAATAAATGCGTAGCATACAAAACTAGCCTCCAGGGCTGGAGAGATGGCTCAGTGGTTAAGAGCACTGTCTGCTCTTCCAGAGGTCCTGAGTTCAATTCCCAGCAACCACATGGTGGCTCACAACCATCTGTAATGAGATCTGGCATCCTCCTCTGGCGTGTGGGTATACATGGAGGCAGAAAGTTGTATACATAATAAATAAATAAATTAAAAAAAAAAAAAAACTAGCCTCCAGTACTTCTGAGGATGCTGCCTGCTCCCGCCCCACGCTCACTCCCCATTCCTTCCTTCTCTCACTACTGGCTTTCCTTTTACATTTATGGATTCAATGTCTGAAGGCAGAGGGCAGCTCCCAGGTCGGTTCTCTCTCCCACACGGGTGGCGGGACTTAGCAGCAACTGCCTTAATCTGCTGAGCCGTCTCGTGAACCCCTTTGTTCCCCACACTCCTTTCAAATGAAAGGGAAGGGAGGGGGCTGTTTCACTGGGTACACAGTCCACACTTCCAGGGTGGGGCCAGAACCTGGCAGAAGCCACTAGCTGACTAAGAACTCAGAGATCCGCCTGCCTGTGCCTTTGAGCCCTAGGATAGCCACCATGACCAGCCTTTAGATAATTTCATTGCTGTGGAGGCTGGAGATGGCTCAGCAGTTAGGAGCAGGCACTGCTCTTCCCGAGGACTCGGATTTAATTCCACACACCCTCGTCATGGGCTCACACCCAACTCCTCTGGCTTCTGGAGATGTCCATTCATGTGCATATACCCACTGACACAAACACATGCATACCCATGCACATACTCACATAATTAAAAATAATACATCTTTAAGGAATAATTTCAATAATTAAAAAATGTTTTTGAGACAGGGTCTCAAGTATCCAAGGATGCCCTTGAACTAACTCCTAATCCTATGGCCTCCACCTCCCGAGGGCTGGGATGGAGTGTCCTATGCACCCCAGCGACCCCGTACCCGCCTCCCAGTTCAGCACCCACACCACACAGAGCCCCCTGCAATCCTTCAGTCCCTGAAGCCAGCACAGCTGGAGAAGGAGCCACACACGGCACAATTTCCATCTGGAATCGTTTAATGAGTCTACATACCACATAATTATAAAAGAATAAGAATTGACAAAAATATTTTCTTTCCATAATATGTAGAGGTGGTTTCTGGTTTGTTTTTGTTTTTTTTTTTTTGTTTTTTTTTTAACTTTTTACTTTATGCCCGAACTCTGGTGGGAGGGGGCTGGGAAGGGCTACACCCCTGAGGTCAGGATGGGTCCTATTCCCGACCCTGGCACCCCTGGGTGGTGCTGGAGAAGTCGGGCAGAGACGACAGGCAGGGCAAAAGGGGCCCCGACAAGGGCTTGGCAGCTCCACAAAGCCTGGGAATTGGGAGGGCGTGTTGGGTCCCAGCGGCCCAGTGCCGTACCTCCAATTTTATATTTCGGTACCGCTTGCTTCCTGTCTTTTAAATAATTATTTAAAATGCTCCCCAAACACACACGACTCTGCGGCGGGGGGGGGGGGTGAGGGGGCAGCACATGCTCTGCGCTGGGGTGGTGCTGCAGGTTTGGGACCCTGACAGCGCCTGTGGCTGTGGGCCCGGTGATGGTCTCTTCCTAACCAGCCCAAGGAGGGCCGCATGGGGGCCACCACCTCTGTCCTGGCCCCCAAGCAGCAGCAAGCAAACAAATCGAAAGCTTCAAAAACTAAAAGATTAAAAAAAATGCAAGAAAAGCAGCGACGGCATCAGGGCAGAGGTCGGAGGTCAGAGGTGCTCCTGCAGGAAGTGCAGCAATGTCACCTCATAGTGCTCCCCAGACTCGGGGCAGCGGATGCTGTGTCTCTCGTTGGGGTAGATCTGTGGAAGAGAAAGAGGAAGAGGCAGGGCTGCAGCCAGGCTCACCTGGGGCCCCTGCTCTGCACCACACAAGGCAGAGTCTCCTTATCCAGGCTCTGGGGGTCCCTTCCCCAGACCCACAGCTGCCTCCTCTCCTTTCCTGTGCCTTCTATAACCCATGTCCCACAGTCTGACGGGATATCCTCCAGGCAGGGCCCCCACTGAGGTCCACTGTCCCCTCACTGCTGAAGCCCCGCCTCTGCCCTACCCCTCAAGCCAAGGCTCTGCCCACCCTCACTTCCAAGGCTGAGTGACCCAGGGTCTCAGGCTCCCTGGGCCTCAGTCCTCACCAACTCCTGCACCTTTAAATGTCCCCTCCCTCAGGGAAGTCCTCTGGGGTTTCTAATCATTGTGGGGGCACCCCCAAGCCTGTAGATAGACTCATCAAAGCAGGACCTGGGATGTGGAGGATGAAGCCTGGGCCGCTCACCTGGAGCTGGTACGGCTTCCCTGCCCGGATCAGCTGGGACACGAGGAAGTTTGTGTGGAAAAAGTGGACATTTTCATCCAGGAAGCCATGTAGGATGAGCAGGCGGTTAGGCCTGGAGGAGAGGGGAGGAAGTGAGGCCTCTGGGGGACAGAGAGCGGTACCCCTGGGCTCACAGTCTCTTCCCGGCCCCATGCCCAGGCATTCTGCGGTGGTAGGACGTTCTGGAAGCACATTACCACTACGCCCCACCTGCACTGACCATTGCATTATGCCCTGGCCAGCAGCCACCTGTGCCTCCTCAGAATATCAAAAGTGGTGGGTGTGACCAAGAAGGTGAATTTTCTCTTTTATATCAGATTTATTTATTTTAGGCATAGGGTCTTATGTAGCCCAGGCTGGCCCTGAACTGTCCATGTAGCTAAGGATGACACTGAACTTCTGATTCTCCGCCTCTACTTCCTGCGTGCTGGGATGACAGGCATGAGCTGCCATGTCTGGGATCTGTGGTGTTGGGCTGGGCCCAGGGCCTCCTGCATGCTGGCCACAGGCTCTACCACAGGGCTCTGGGCCTCCTGCATGCTGGCCACAGGCTCTACCACAGGGCTCAGGGCCTCCTGCATGCTGGCCACAGGCTCTACCACAGGGCCCAGGCTCAGCTATTTTCTTTTTTTTTTTTAAATTATAGATGGTTGTGAGCCACCATGTGGTTGCTGGGAATTGAACCCAGGACCTCTGGAAGAGCAGTCAGCGCTCTTAACCCCTGAGCCAACTCTCCAGCCCCTATACACTAACTTTTTGCAGCACTAATGGTTCCTATGAATGACAGAGCAATGTCTGGAGTCATTGTGGCTTTGTAAGTTGTACGCTCATCGGACCACTAGCTCTAGAACATTCCGTCCTGCCATCCCAGCAGCAGTGAGGTCTCGGCCTCCACAGAGCAGTGAGCGGGACTGACTGCAGGAGCCCTGCAGTGGTGCAGACAATGGTGGGCATTCCCGAGGCAGAGATGCCCAAGCCACACTGCACTGTGACCAGCGGCTGCCCCTCTGCTGTGACCACTGTCACCTATGAAGTGAGTGTGTGTGGACAGTGCCCATGCCCATGCAGCCTGAGGAGCTCAGGTCCAGATGGGCTGTACAAGGCTGGACGTGAGCTCACAGGGCTACTGGAACTGTGTAGGCAAGTGCTTCAGGAAAGCAGGGTACCACGGCCTGTGTGGCCCTCGTCCCCACCATCCCGCACCTCCAGGCCAGCTGGCAGGAGGTACCAGGAGACACAGGCAGAGAGGATGAGAGCCCGGAAGCTGCAGGGAAGAGCACTGGGGAGCGCATGGTAAGCGCGTGGGTGGCTTACTCATTGGGCAGCTTCTCCACATGCAGGGCCACCGACCCTGCCTCATAGCCTTGCTGGTTGTTCTCGGGGACATCCATGTACCGTTCCGTGTACCCTGTGTCATAGGCCATCCACACAGTGACGGGAGCACCCGCAATGGCTACCTGGAAGACACAAGGGATGGATCAGGCAGGGAGAGAGAAGGAGAAAGGTGTCGGATCTGGGGCCTAGCCTTGGCTGGAACTGCAGGCCTCAGCAGAGGGTTAGGCAGCTCATGCATGAGGGTGGTGGCTTGCAGGGGGCCCTCAGATGTGTTCCCATGGGCCTTGAGCTGCACTCCACGCAGGGTGTGGAGGGAGGGCCCGTCCCACCTTCCTGCCTCCTCCGCCTCCTCATGGCCGCCGCCCCGCAGTGCCCTGCCAGTCCCGGGGCCTGCGCCCCCCTGCTGCTCCTCACAGCATGCCCCACCTCTGCCCCTCCGAGGCGGGGTCCCGGGCTTGGCCTCCCACATAGAGCTGCTGGCGGATGCCATCCTGGGGTCGGTGGTGGCAGGCAATGAGGAGGGGGACTCGGCCTCGTGGGGTGGCTGCGGGGAGAGATAGCCAGGTGGCAAGGCCCCTGCCAAAGTGCTTGCTCCAGGCTGGGGCTCCTGGTGGGGATATGGGATCAAGGGCAGATGGGCTTCGGGCCGCAGGGGGCTAGACAGGAGTGAGACCCACCTTGAATACGTGTGGTTTGTGGATGAGCCCCATGAGTGAGAGGAAGCCACCGTAGGACCAGCCGTGGATGGCGACACGACTGAGGTCGATGAAGCCATACTTCTCGGCCACGTACTGCAAGCCTTCCACCTGGTCCTCAATCTCCACCTGGCCCTGTGGAAACCCAGCACTCTGTGACTTCCCCCAGATAGTGACCAGGATCCCACACCCCGTCACCTTGTTGCTAGCAAGAAGCCTCTCTTCTTAGACTCAAAGTAATACTCGAAGTACTACGGCCCAGGAAGGCCCTGATGAAGCTGCTCTCTTGTTTGCAGGGACAATACCATCAGCAGCAGCACCACCCCCATCACCCCCACCATCATCATGACCACCATCAGTACCAACCCCACCACTGCCAACGTCACCGGCACCACCCCCGCCACTGCACTCGACACCAGTGTCCTCACCACCCTTTAAGCTCCCTTCTGCCACGCCCATCAGACCCACCCAAGAAGCTCCACAGCATCCAGCTGTGTCTGGGCCACTATCCTCCCCCAGCCGCATGCTCGGGCCTGAGAGGAGTGGAGAGTACGCATGTTTCTGGGACCCAGTTGCTCCCAAGGGCCCACACTGCAGGAGCAGGACTCACCATCTGGTTTTTCAGGGCCCCCTCAAATCTCAGGCCCCGTTGACAGGAACCCCGGCCATCGATCACCACCACAGCGTAGCCCAGGGACGCCAGCGTGTTCAGCCGCAGGTACTTGATGCCCTTGAAGGAGTTGTTCACCAGCTGCACCTGCAGGGAAGCTGGGTGGTGAGAGCTGCAGGGGCGGCAGGGGGCGGGGCCTGGGCCAGGGTGCACTCACCTGTGGGCCCCCATAGACGAAGAGCACAGTGGGGTGCTTCCTTCCCGGCTGCAGGGTATGTGGCTTGTAGATCATGCCATAGAGCTGCACATCGGCACGGGTGTGGAAGTGGAAGATCTCAGGGGGCACGTAGTCCGGGGGGCAGTCTGCGGTGACAAAGGTACTGAGAGTGGCCAGCAGGGCCATGCCCACCCATGCCCAGGCCTGTGGACCTCATCTGCCCCCACTGCTTCTGCCTGGAAGATGATCTTGGGGGAGCTGTGGAGGAACTCCACGGGGGATATGCAATCCCCTTGGCATGGCCACCCCGCCGGGTTCCTCCACCAGCCTAGCCACTGTGGGAAGAGCGACTAAGCTGGTCTCAGAGTGGCACAGTCATCCCGACCGTGGCTACGTTTGGGTTCCCCGAGGACTGGCATACAGCCACATGGGTCAGCTGCTATGGTGGGCTAAGGCCTTGCTTTCCTGGGGCACCATTTCTATGTGCCCCAGGCTGGCCTAGACCAGATACAGTGATCTTGCTTCTGCCTCCTGAGGGGGGGCATGACAGTGTGCACTACCACACTTGGGTTCTGGAGATGGAACCAGGGTTCCAGGGATGCTGGCAGCCTGCTATCGAGCCCTGGCCACTACTGGAGGTCTCTGCAAGGCACATCTTGGGACAGTGGCCTGGCAAGCACTCCAAATCTCGTGTGGGTAGAGTCATGGTGGACCTCAGCCTCTAAGGCGGTCTCTCAGAACTATCTTTTTCTGAGGCCCCTCTGCTGGCTGACCTTGAGCTCCCTGCCACAGCGGTTGCCCCAGGGTGTCAGGGTGGCTGCCAGGGACTGCTGGGAGAGTGAACGATCTCCACCTCTGTGCCCGTCACCGGGAGCCCTGGCTGGTGGGGCTTCCTGAGGCCGCACTACTCACTGGCTGACTCCATCATGCTGGCCCAGAAGCGTGGCTGCTTGTGCAGCGGGTCGTCGTCAGGGCCACTCAGCTTGTACACGTGCACACAGGGCGGCGTGCTCACGCTGCTGTAGTGACTCACAAACATGTCGAAGTTCTGCTGGAGGCAGGGTGGCGCTCAGTGCACAGGAGCAGCCTCTGCCTTTCCCCAGGAACCCTGTACAACCCACCCACCCGCAGGTCACCGCCACCACCCTTTGCAGATGAGAAAACAGCCGGTCAGGGACTGTCCCAGTTCATGGACTCAAGCCTCATCCTTGATGGTTTCTAGAATGTTCTGAGAGGCTAAGGGCTGTGGACTGGATTAGAGGGAGGCCAGGGTGGGCAGGGGTGTGGCATGCCTACCTGACTCATGGAACAGCTGTGGGAGAAGCCAGGCGTGGTGAGCCGCACGATCTCGCCAGCGGACTCGTAGCTGACCACGTAGAGGTGGTGCTCCAGGGGAGTGTCCTTGGTGCCTTGGAAGTACACCAGCTTCGTCTGTTCATTGACCCAGATCTGCAGGCAATGGGGGCTTCTGTGAACAGCCGTGTCTGGCTACACTTCCTGCCCTAGACTCAGCCCCAGGGACCACAGTCAGGGACCCCCTGGTGCCCCAGCCGGCAGCAGCCAGACACGACTGAGGGCAGTGTGAGGGACAGACAGGCTGCTGTGGGGCCGACAGCTCCCCCAGCACACACAGGTCCCGACTCCACGTGCTGCACGACATAAGCTGGCCTTGATGGAACAGGCGCCACCCAATACTTGGGCTTAGTCAGTTAATGGCCACCTGGGCTACGAGAGACCTTTTCTCAAAAAATAAAAAGATGTCTGTCTGTTTGATTTTGAGGCCGAGGCGTGCTGTATAGCCCTCCTTGGACCCTGAGTGTCAGGATGACAGGCCCACAGATAACACTCTCCTCGGACTCTGAAAATGTTTTGCCCTCGTGTTTTCCTTAATTCCAGAGTCCTAAGTTCAAAGCCACATGGAGAAGTCCTGTCTGTGGCAACACAGGTGGGGACGTGCTCACACCAGGATGGGCACTCAGGGCATTTCCAGGTGTACGTGGCTGAGCAGAGCTCAGTGGAAACTTGCCTAACTCATGAGGACCCTGGTGCTATGCACAGCACCGCCAAACTAAAGAATGAATACAAATCAGAAATACATGAAGCAAATTTAAAAATCTTAAATCTGGTTCTGTGCTTGGGGGACCCTGAGTAGCTTGTCTGGACATGTGCAGCCACCATAACTAGGGAGCTCCCCGTAAGGAGTGGGAGGAGGCTGGCTGGCCCTTAGCACCCAATCCAGAACTGCTGTCCTGGGCAGCCCTGGGATAGGCCAGGTTTCCCTACACGGAACTTCCACTGAGAATATTGGTGTCCTGGGGCCTCTGGTGGGGGCGGGGGAGGGGCAGAGCCAGCCTCAGGAGGGCCCGGAGAAAGGTACCTTGGAGCCATGTCTTGACAAAACCTCCCACTCGCCACTGGTCAGCGCGACCTCCTCCTTGACGGGGCACTTGAACTCATCTGTGGGAAGGGGAGCAGAGAGGTGAGGGGACGAGGGACGTGGATGGGACCCGGCAGCTCTGCAAGGGAAGGACAGTCTCAGCCAGTGCCCAGCATGGCATAAGGGGCCCGTGCTCCCAGAGGACAGCCAGGAGCCTCCCTAATCTACAGCAGGCGTGGCATATGATCAGTGGCCATGACCTCCTAGATGATGCTGGGCCACCAGAACCAGAACCAGAACCAGACCCAAAACCATGCTTCCGTCAGGCAACCAAGCATGGCGGCACACACCTTTAATCCCAGCGCTCCAGAGGCAGACATGGTCTGGGACAGCTGTAGGGGGATAGCTGGCTTCCTGTTCTATCTTCCTAGTCGAAGGCCTCCAGGAGAGCTACCATTGCCCAGGCTAGCCCTCACATGCCCCCGCCCATACACAGAGCCACCACCCCTGCTGGCGCCTTGGATTTGAGGCTGTGCATCTACATCTCGACACCAGAGGGTTCATCGGTCACGTCACCTAGACATCCCCCCACTCCTGGGGTGTCCTCCAAAGCCACCCTCTTCCCCATGCCAGCCTCCTCATCTTCCACAGCCCTTCTTCATGTTTGAATTTTGCTCCAGGTGTGCAGGTCTACTCCTGTGCACCGCGTGTGTGCACAGTGTCCGCCCATGAAGGCCAGTAGAAGGCACAGGACCCGGGGAACTGAAGAGGCAGTTCTGAGCTGTGTGGGCGCTAGGAACCGAACCCAGGTCCTATGCAAGGGCAGCACCCCCATTTTAGACAGGGCCTCACATAGCCCAGGCTGGCTTCAAGCTCACTAGGTAGCCAAGGATGACCCTGAAGTCCAGATCCTTCTGCCTCCACCTGACATTCCACCACACACGGTTTCTGTGGTGCTGGGGATGGAACCCATGGCTTCCTGTGTGTCAGGTGGACACTGTATCAACACTGTACCAGGCTAGCCCTTCTGGATCTCTCGCCTGCTCAGACACTCAGCAGCCACCACATGATGCCAAGAAGTACACACTGGGGCCCGGCACTCTGCACTCGGTCTCGGGCTGGGCAACCATGAAACTGAAGGGAAGTTTCTAGGCAAAGCCCCAAGTGCAGTGGTGGTGTCCCAGCAGGGGCAGATAAGTTGACGACATTCCTGTGACAGAGGTCACTGCCAGGAGGGACACAGACAGCAGCTGGACATGACGCCTGGGCTCCCTGTGGCTCCTGGCCCTCAGAGACACCAGCTCATTCGTACTCTGTCCCTTGAGGCCATGGCTGCCACAGCCTGCTGCGGGCGCTACCTCTGAACTGTGGCACTCCCTGAAGATGACCTGTCTTCAGGGAGATTTGAGCGACGTCTGAGGACATATGTAGCTGTCACAGCTGGGGGAGCTGCTGGCATGGAGTAGGTAAAAATGGGGATACTGCTCCCTGAATGTCGTCAGCGGAAGCTGGGCCTGTACCCTGAGCTGAGGCCATGGCCTGTGCAAAGGCCCTGAGGTAGAAGACACAGCTCACTGCACAGACTGTGACCTGTCCTGATGGCCCAAGGCACCCTCTCAAGAACGGCCCGGAAGGGCCCCCAACCCCTGGGGTTCACCGGCCATAGCCCCAGGAGCCATGAGTTTCTTTTAGAAGCATAGTCTATTCAGACTTAGTGCCTCAAGTCACTGCCTCCAAAACACACCGTGAGCTCCTCTCTCTTAATGGGTCCTGGAGTCTCTCTGGCCCTGACTGGACCCCACGTCATGCTGGGCACCGTGGGCCCATCCCATAGGGAGAGCATCACCAAGGACCACATCTCCGTCAGGAATATGACTTTTTCCGATTTGCTCTTCTCACCCCTGGCCCTGAGCCCCACAGAAACCCAGTCACAACAATGTTAGAAAAAGCCGCTTCCTGCTTTCTTCAGGGTCACAGCCCACTGGTGCCCCCACCTTCTCCTCTAGGCGCCTCAACACTGTGGGCTCTGTCCTGCACACAGCCTTTCCCTCCAGCCGTGTCCCCTGCCCCAGGCCTTTGCACAGCTGCATTCTCTGCCTTAAGCCTTCACTGCGAACTCACCACATGCATCCTAGGCCCTGTCAGATCCCTGCAGCAGCATGTCACCCAAGGCACTAGCTCACATTACAACAGTGTCCCTTCTTCTCCTCCTGATGCCGCCAAATTCACCTCCTCTACATCTCCTGAGGCAGAGATGCCATCTCCGATCACTCCAGCATGGCCCTGAGAGTCTTTGGGGAGGACACGCTCAGACAGGCCTTGCCCCTCCAGCCTCAGCCGCGGAGGTCTGAGGTCACTGGTGTGCCCACTACAGTGGCACACTGGGCCCCTGGAGCCACTCTGGTCCAGGCAGAGAATCTGAAGGCTGAGGCTGGGACACAAACAAGAGCAGCAGGCAAACTAGGAACAAGGAGGTGTGACCACCCACAGGAGTGATGAGGAACAAGGAGGAGTGACCACCCGCAGGAATGAGGAGGAACAAGGATGTGTGACCATCCACAGGAGTGACGAGGAACAAGGAGGTGTGACCACCCGCAAGAGAAACAAGGAGTGACCACCCACAGGAGTGAGGAGGAACAAGGAGGTGTGACCACCTGCAGGAGTGAGGAGGAACAAGGAGGAGTGACCACCGCAGGAGTGAGGAGGAACAAGGAGGTGTGACCACCCGCAAGAGTGAGGAGGAACAAGGAGGTGTGTGTGACCACCCGCAGGAGTGACCACCGCAAGAGTGACGAGGAACAAGGAGGTGTGACCACCCGCAAGAGAAACAAGGAGGTGTGACCACCCGCAGGAGTGAGGATGAACAAGGAGGTGTGACCACCTGCAGGAGTGAGGAGGAACAAGGAGGAGTGACCACCGCAGGAGTGAGGAGGAACAAGGAGGTGTGACCACCCGCAAGAGTGAGGAGGAACAAGGAGGTGTGACCACCCGCAGGAGTGACCACCGCAAGAGTGACGAGGAACAAGGAGGTGTGACCACCCACAAGAGAAACAAGGAGGTGTGACCACCCGCAGGAGTGAGGATGAACAAGGAGGTGTGACCACCCCACCCGCAGGAGTGAGGAGGAACAAGGAGGAATGACCACCGCAGGAGTGAGGAGGAACAAGGAGGTGTGACCACCCGCAGGAGTGAGGAGGAACAAGGAGGTGTGACCACCCGCAGGAGTGAGGAGGAACAAGGAGGTGTGACCACCCACAGGAGTGAGGAGGAACAAGGAGGTGTGACCACCCACAGGAGTGACCACCCGCAGGAGTAAGGAGGAACAAGGAGGTGTGACCACCTGCAGGAGTGAGGAGAAGCAAGGAGGTGTGACCACCCGCAGGAGTGAGGAGGAACAAGGAGGTGTGACCACCTGCAGGAGTGAGGAGGAACAAGAAGGTGTGACCACCCGCAGGAGTGAGGAGGAACAAGGAGGTGTGACCACCCACAGGAGTGAGGAGGAACAAGGAGGAATGACCACCGCAGGAGTAAGGAGGAACAAGGAGGTGTGACCACCTGCAGGAGTGAGGAGGAGCAAGGAGGTGTGACCACCCGCAGGAGTGAGGAGGAACAAGGAGGTGTGACCACCTGCAGGAGTGAGGAGGAACAAGAAGGTGTGACCACCCGCAGGAGTGAGGAGGAACAAGGAGGTGTGACCACCCGCAGGAGTGAGGAGGAACAAGAAGGTGTGACCACCTGCAGGAGTGAGGAGGAACAAGAAGGTGTGACCACCCGCAGGAGTGATGCGTTAAACAAATGCAGTCACACAGTGGTGACAGTGATACCAGCCACTCTAATGCCCTGGTGGCATCCAAGGCCCCACTGCACAGGTGCAAGGGAAATCCCACCTGGTCAATCAATAAACACTCTGCTGTCAACTGCAGCAGGGCAGGGTAGGGCGGGGGGCCACTCTTCTCCACACCCCTGCCTCTGCTCACCTTCTGTGGGGCTGAAGGGTTCTGTCCAGTCATAGTCGCCAGTTTTCAGGTCCACAGTGACCTTGTACAGGTGGCAGAAGCCAGTCTTACACTCGTTGGCACGGAGGAAGGCGAAATCCTGCTGGCCCTCGGCCTGCGGGAACGGGTGGAAGATGTCATGGACCTGCAGGGAGAGAAGTGGGGTCAGAGGATTTCGTGACCGGTTAGACCCCGAGTCCAGTCCATGCCCCACTAGAGACCAGGGCGCGGGAACAGTGGGCCCCTCGCTCCTGCTTACATTGATCCAGACGTTGGTGACTTCTTCATAAATGACGAAGGGCTGCACATTTCTGGGGACGGCTCTGGCAGCTGCCTTCCGCTGGGCCTCGGTCTCCGGGGACGGGATGAAGAGGGCTGGCGGTAGGAGGACAAGCTGGAGTCGCTGCTGGGGACGGTCCAGGAACATGGCCCAGGCGCTGGAAGGATGAGAGAGGAGGCAGCAGGAGGGCTCAGTGGCTGGCAGGGGACAGCAGGGAACAGGGTCACGCCGGGCCCTTCCCTGGCTAGCCTGGCATACAATCTCTGGACAGATTAGGTGAGATTCAATGTGACGAAGGCCTAGGGTAACATTCTCAAATCAGACAAGTGGCTTCTTTTTAAGCTAGGGTCTTGCCTGAGGATGACCTTGAACTCTTGCTCCTCCTGCCTCCACTGTCAGAGCTAGAATGGCAGGTGTGTGGCACCATGACCAGCATTAACTAAATGGCCAATATCCTACTCTGGAGATAGGTACAACCTGGGGCCTTGTGCACGTCAGACAACTCTGCAACCCAGGTCTTTGAAATGGTTTTGCTTGGCATGGCCATGCACCTGCCATCCCAGCAGTGAGGAGGTAGAGGCAGAAGGAATAGGAGTTCAGGTTTATCCTGGGCTACACAGTTCTAGGTCAGCCTGGGCTACACAGTAAGAGGAAAGGAAGATGAGGAGGAAGGAAGTGGCAAGCAAGTCTGTACGTCTGCATTCTGCCCCAATCATGGATCTCAGGGCACTCCTGTGTCCTATCTGGTGTTCCCTCTACTCTGGGCCACCTGGGATTGTCCCACCCTTGGGATTTTGGTCAGACTGACCTGATGCCCAAAGTCCCCTGCTAGTTGAGGCTGAGAGAGATCCCAAGGGAAAAGGCATGGGTGCAGGGCACCAAGTCGCCCCCAGGGACCTGCCCATCCCCAGGACACTCACTATCTGCCATCCCGTGTCCAGCCAGCCCGGGCGATGTACTCCACCTTGGGGAAGAGGGAACTGAACGGCTGCACCAGCTCCTTCTCGCAGCTCGACACGATCTGGGGAGACAGGGGCACGTCATGAACAATGCCATAGCCCCCTGACCTCCATGGTCCTCATGGCTTGACAGTCAGCACCCGCATGGTGTCCGACAGGCTAATTCCAGCTTCAGGAGCTCTGGTGCTCTCTCTAGTCTCCATACAGGCAAACACTCACACACTAAAAAATAAAGCCAGGCATGGTGTTTCACGCCTTTAGTCCTAGCACTTAGGAGGCAGAAGCAGGCAGATCTCTGTGAGTTCAAGGCCAGCCTGGTCTACAGAGCTAGTTCCAGGACAGTTAGGAGTTCAAAGAGAGACTTTATCTCAAAAAAATAAAAATAAAAATAAATCTTAAGAAAGGAAAGCAGGCAGGTAGCCAAGCAGGCAGGTGCACAGCCCTCTGAGGTATGTAGGTGAAGAGGAAGTCACACTGGGTGACACTAATCCAGCAAGGGAGAGAGGCGGGGACAGATCCAGTCCAGCCCTCAGAGTTCCCTCTGACCTACTGACGCCCACCCTGGGACCCTCCGCCTATACGGCTGCTGAGAGAGCACCCCAGCCACCAAAGCCACAGACTCAGGTCTCTCTGCAGTGGGATGAGAAGGGGATGACAGGCGACTGACAGGAAGATGGAATGACAACAGCACACTGTGCTCCCTGCCATGTCCAGATGGTTCTGGAACCGCCTACTACCGCCCTGGACTTAGAGGGTCTTGGGCCAGCTGAGCAAGGGGGCAGGGGGACGAGAGGAGAAATGGAGGCAGGTGGCAACCCTGGTGGGGTCAGCAGGACATGCCTGCTCAGCAGCTGCAGGCCTCGCCAGGCTCAGGAGCCTGTTTGTGGCAGAGGCCTGGCTGTGGCCGAGGATGAGGCAGTGGCTGAGCCCTGACTGCACTTGTAGGACTGAGTTCGGTTCCCAGGACCCAAAGGGCAGCTCATATCCACCTATAACTCCAGCTCCAGAGGATCCGATAGCCAATTCTGGCCTATATGGGCACTGCACTGGACGTGTTAGAAAAAGAAAACAAAACTTAAAAAACAAAAACAAAAAACAAAAGGCTGGTGGGTGTGACTGACATCAGGTACTGCTGGTGACACGTTCTGAACAGACTGCACAGGAAGGGACTTGGTGTGAGGGTCTAATGTGCAGAAAGGACGTACAATAGCAAAGACAGCAATCTAGCTTACATTTCCCCTGGATGTTATGAGAGTTTTTGCGAAAGCTTTCTGGGGGCCAGCAGGATAGCTCAGCAAAAGGAGTTGGTCATTTTGTGACCAAGCTGATGACCCGAGGTAAACCGGTGGAAGCCCACGGTGGAGGGAGAGAACTGACCGTCACGCTGTCCTCTCCTGCTCGCGCACACAGCCTCAGGTGCTGCCTGGGGAACTGTCAGTGTCACACACCCTTGGTGACCTGAGGGTCACTTCAGGAGAGCAGCAGCAGCTCTCATTGGATGGAGAAGGCACGGCACAATGACCCAGCCTCTACGCCAGTGACCATGTCACACACTCCGGGTTGCCAGGCCTTACTCAGCACCTCTAAGGGAGCGATGTCAAGGGGGAAGGGACAGAGAAGGACCCAGAACATGGCCATGCTCAGTGTGAGACCTGAGACCGGGCACCCCGCCAATCCACCCCACAGTGTTCTGGGCCGAGGTCACCACAGCATACAGGTGAGGCCATTTGGCTGATCACACATCTCAGAGAACAGGCTGACTGTCCACATGCCCCCAGCACCCCCTGGAACTCCCCAAAACATGCCCAGCCCTTACCTTGCCCTGCTCATCTGTCTGGATCTCAGCCAGCTTCAGGGCAATCTTCGGATTCTTGCTGCCTGGAGGGGGAAGGTCAGCTGTGAGGCTACCAGTGGCCACCCTGGCCAGGGACAGTGTGACCACACCTGTGGGGAGGTGGCACAGCCCCTCCCATGACACAGTCTCCAGGGCAGGGATAACCTGACCCAGGGCCTGGAGCACATTCTAAACAGGGGATGCACAACACATCCCTTTGTCCCCTGGGAGATGGAGTAGGAACACAACTTGGGCTGGTCACCCCACTTCTGAGATGTGGAATGTGGCTGGGACTGTTTTCTTAGGGTGCTGGGGACAGATCTTGGGATTCTTCTGGAAGGGTTCAGGCCCAAGTACAGGGTAACATGAACACTTGACAAACGCCTCCATCTTGCCTGAGACTCAGATGTCCCGTGGGAAGTCTAGGTCCCATCCACACAGCACCCAGGAGGGCTCACTGTGTATCTGCAATGGTAGTCTATTTTATTTATTTGACTCACTGTGTGTCTGCAATGGTAGTCTATTTTATTTATTTGACTTTTGAGATAGGCTCTTCATGAAGTCCAGGCTAGCCCAGAATCTTCTACAAAGCAGAGGCTGGCCTTGAGCTTCTGATCCTTCTGCCTCCAATGGCAGTAACAGGTGTGCCCCCGACACCCCGACACACACACACACACACACACACACACACACACACACACACACACACGGTGGTGCTGGGAATGGAACCTGCGGCTCAGTGTTCACTGAGCCTCAGTCCATGTGACTCCCACAGAGGGACAGGCAGCAGGCCTGAGGTTAAATCAGGCTGGCCAGGGCTGCTGCTGGCTTAAGGTTTCTTTTTTTTTTCTTTTTTTAAAAAGATTTATTTATTTATTATGTATACAGTATTCTGTCTGCATGTGTGTCTGCAGGCCAGAAGAGGGCGCCAGATCTCATTACAGATGGTTGTGAGCCACCATGTGGTTGCTGGGAATTGAACTCAGGACCTTTGGAAGAGCAGGAAGCACTCTTAACCTCTGAGCCATCTCTCCAGCCCCCCCGCTTAAGGTTTCTAACACTTTGAGATAGCAAAGAAACAGAGCTCATCAGGAGAGCCCGTCTCCGGGGCTCCCTCCACTTATTTTTCTTGTCAGGTCTCCAGTCTCAGAGGCCACTACGCGTTAGCATTATCCAGGAGGCTCGGTCTGCTCGTCTGTGGCTGTCCTGGCGTAGAGAGGCCTGAGATGTGACACTGGGCAGTTGGAAGATGCTGCCACACACACTTTCTGTGACCATGAGACCCGACAAAGCCAGGCAGTGGGTACCCCAGAGGATGGAACGCTGGCACTCACCTGTCCTGGGGTAGCGGTAGGAATCAGTCTTCCTCTCCTCCAAGGCAGGGGAGGGCACATGGATGACCTCCACCTCAGACTCGTCCACCTCTTCATACAGGATACGCAGCGTCTTGAGGCCTTCGGAGCCTGGTCGGGGCCAAGGAGCAGGGACTCAGGGCACCCACCCAGGGACTCAGGGCACCCACCCACCCACCCCCACCACACGGGGCTCTGAGCCTTAGCGGAATGACAGGAGCCAGCAGGAGGTGGCACAGAGCTGCCTGCTAGGGCTGTAGAGTCAAGCAGGGCCCTGAGATCATGGGCTCAAGCTCTACTCTAAGGCCTCGCCTGCGAAAGGGGTGGGGAGCCTGGCCGGTATGACAGCCGTGCTATAAACACCTGTGACAATGGTGGACGAGGGGAGTGCGTCAGAGCCTTAGGAAAAGTCAGACTTGTCATCTGCACCTAGAGCCAAATAGCCCAATGTGGGGCCACACATTTCTGTTGTCTATGCCACTCAGGCAGGGCGATTTTGTCATGTAACCTAAACACACACTCACAGGCCCTGGAAGAGCAAAACACCACAGTGAAGGACTGGGGGAGTGGTCAGGGTGGAGCCCCGCCCAGAATCCCCAGTGAGAGGGCTGGGGGCGTGGCCAGGGTGGACCCCAGCCTAGAATCCCCAATGAGGGGGCTGGAGACGTGGCCCTAATAGCTAAGGGTCCCCCATGGTTTATAGGAATGACCCGTCCAGGTGAGGCAAGGCCTTTGTCATCTCCCTGTCCTGTGCAGACTCTGGCATAATATTTAACGGGTCCCTAGGTGTAGGTCCTGGGATCACATGGGCTGATTCAGTGGAGGCATAAGGTACTGAGATGTGGGTTGCCTACCTTCCCAAGAGGCTGTGGGGCACCACCAGCATGCAGTGAAGCGGTCAAACTCCTCCTGGATGACGAAGGTGGCCACACCTGCAGACTTGGGATCGTCCAGGACATTGGCTGAGCCTGCGAGAGGGCACACAGTGAGTGACACACAGATTCCTGACAACCACTGTGAGGCTGACTGTTAATGGCTGCCCGAGGGCCCACCGTCCCCCATGCCCACCCTCACCCTGGTGGCAGAAGGTGAGCCGCCGCTCCTCTCCAGTCTCGATGTTGGCCACCCACAGGTCATTGTTGTTGATGAAGGAGAAGAAGGCAGGGTCTGCGGGACAGATCTTGGGATCCATGCGCGGCCCGGAGCACTGGGTCTTGATCTCCAGTGGCTTCATAGGGGACACCTGGGGACAGGGAGGTTGGGTCAGCGTGCTGGCACCACTTCCCCATCCCCGGATACAGGCTGTGCCTCACCATGAAGCCATTCTTGCCGCCGTCCCTGCAATGGAACAGGCTATTGCTGGCCTGGAAGAGGAAGAGGCCGCTCTCACTGTGGAAGTCGTAGGAGGTGATGCCGAAGACGCCCAGGCGCTTGCGTTCCCGCAGCAGCTCCTCCTCTCGAGAGTAGACGCCATGGTGGGGCGTGGCCTGTGGACACAGCATTGCATGCTGGCTGGAAACTCCCTCCTGAGTGCCCGTGGTCCCGTGGCGACATCTGGCCCCAGCCCTTGCTCACGCTCTCAATTCTGGCGGTCCCTGTGGGGACCTCCCCCACCTCATCACAGCCCTCCCTACCAAAAACATTCCCTATAAATCCCATAGCTCTACCTACAGAACACACCCAAGGTTTCTGGACAGACATGGAGGGACACAGAGTGAGTCGGTCTGTTTGAGCCAGGGTCTCCTGTGGCCTGGCCTAGCCTGGGATGGGCTACTTGGTAGACTATAACCCCAAAAGGCGTGCACCACCACGCCTGGTTTATGCGGTGACAAGAGAGAACCTGGGGCTTCCTGTGTGCTGGCTGAGTGCTCTATGACTGAGCCTCAGAACTGGGTGGGGTGCAGCTCAGAGCTGGGATATGGACGAGGCAAGTGTGGAAGCCTGGGTTTCATTCCCAGCACTGTGCTGTGCAGAAAGCTACCTGGGAACTAAGAGGAGTGACCATTTGGGGAGTGGGAAGTGGGGCTCGGGCATGCCACTGTGATAATGCTACTGTTTCCTCCAAACATGCACAAACTGCAGCCATGCCAGGGTGTCCCCCTCCTTGGGCACCTCTGGGCAGTGATATTAGTCATCAGCCAGGCCCGTGACTCAGCCCTCATTCGAAGGTGCAGACAGGAGGGAGAAACGGTCTGATAAGTGCTCCAGTCAGAACTCTGTTCCCGGAAACCGGGTGTGGCACGGGCAGCTCACCTGGAAGTGGTCCAGCATCTGCTTCCAGGACAGCAGCAGGAGGGCCTCCTTCCGCACCTTCTTGGGGATCTCGGAGTAGAGGAGGGAGTTCTCGCGGCTGCCATACGGCATTCCTGGGGAAGGATCACAGAAACTTCAAGAGTGGGAGCCCTACCTGAGAGCGTATGGGGTCATGGGTCCCTCTGTTTGTAGAAAGAGCCTCTGCGTCCATCACTATGTGCCTGTGAAAGCCACAGGTCTCCCCTCTCCCTCTGCCTTGGATGTACAGACATCCACCCACACATCCCAAGTGCCAGGATGAGCCCCATGTCTGGCCTCTGTCTTTTTTGAGACATGGGCTCCCTTGTAACTAACTTGACTGGTCAGCATGTCCCGATCTCCTCCCGTGTCCCACCCTGCGGCACCAGCCCTGGGGTGACAGGTGCAGCCAGCACACGTGGCTCAGCTCTCCTGCGGTCATGTGTGGCAGCGCTTCTCAACCTTTCTGATGCTGCAACCCTCTAATATAGTTCCTCGTGCTGTAGTGACCCCGACCATCAAATTATTTCATTGCTACTTCATTACTGTAATTTTGCTGTTATGAATCATAATGGGGGTGCACTTTCAAGACAGGGTTGCTCTGTGGAAGAGTCCTAGCTGTCCTGGAACTAGCTCTTGTAGACCAGGCTGTCCTTAAACTCACAGAAATCTGCCTGCCTCTGCCTCCCAAGTGCTGGGACTAAAGGTGTGGGCTACCACCACCTGGCAATAATACAAATATTTGGTATGCAGGATCTCTAATATGTGACCCCTGTGTGGGTCACTACCCACAAGTTAAGAACCACTGCTCTAGAAGGTTCCTCTGATGGAGAGATGCTGGCAAAGACTAAGGCCTAAACCAATCTCAGAGGACAGTAAGGCTAAGCCTTAGGGAGAGGTGGGAGGAGTGTGCCCGCCTACTGCAGCCATGGCTCCACCCACCCCAGCCATAGCTCCACCCACTCCAGCCTGAGTCACAGCTCCAACTGCACCCTCCTCAGGCCTTGCCCTGGCATCAGCTCTCAGGACAACTGAATGTGGGTCCTGACTGAAAGACATGGCTTATCGCTGAAGGGAAACGCACAATGACATCTCTGTTTCCCCAGTGCATCCCAAGTACTGAAAGACTATGACTGCCAACCTAGACTAATACACCCAGAAAAATATCTGCCACAGTCAAAGGAGGAAAAAATTTCATGATTAAAGAGTCTAAAGAAATTATATTCGACAAATGAAACCTAAATAAAATATAGGAATCATTATTTCAGGCTGAAACGGGTCAAGATTAGCAGACATAACACGGAATACAAAATAAAATATCACTGAGAACACAGACAAAAACCACCCCAAATTAGCAACAATTTGGCTCCAATTAACACATTTCTTTTGGTAACAATTTCAAATATCACTGGCAAAGAACACTTGGTGACAGAGCTGGTAATTTATAAGGAACGGAGGTTTAAAGTCAGGGGCTGTGGTCAGGGTTTCTGCGGCTGTGATAACACACGAGGGCCAGAGGACCGTGGAGAGCAGGAGCAGTATTTTATCCTAGGCACCGCTGGGGCTGGGCGCCAGGCTGTGAGCGCACACCAGCCCCTCCACCTCCACAGTCTGGTGATCTCTTAAATTTTAAAATAGGAAGAGAGACAAGAAGCAAAGATCTCTGGTGGTGACAGATACTATGGTACTACAAGGGGAATTTGAGGGAAGGACTCAAGAGGCTTGGAGAGATCAGGGAAAGTGTCGCTGAGGAAGACAGATTTAAGAAGAAGCAGTTGGCCGGGCGGTGGTGGCGCACGCCTTTAATCCCAGCACTCGGGAGGCAGAGGCAGGCGGATCTCTGTCAGTTCGAGACCAGCCTGGTCTACAAGAGCTAGTTCCAGGACAGGCTCCAAAACCACAGAGAAACCCTGTCTCGAAAAACCAAAAAAAAAAAAAGAAGAAGCAGTTGGTCATCGAAGAGAAAGCTCCAGCTATCTAAAAAGTGCAAAGGCCGTGTGGTTCCGGCGTGTGTGGTGTCTGAGGGTCAAATGGATGAAAGAGATGAGGTGGTGAGAACGCTAACTAGGGGCCGGATGCCCTAGCTGTGCAGTCACGGAGATTTGTGTGGAGGAGAAACTGTTGGGATCCGGCTGGAAACAGCGAAGGAGCTAGGTAGGCCACAGAGAGAACTGGAGGAGAGGCCATCAATCCCTACGTCATTAGAGCCTTGCCGCCTCAGCAGGTTCAATGGCTAACGACAGTGACCACTTCCTGCAAGCTTGGGTAAGGTTTAATGTTGTGTGTCAGCTCTCCTGGGCCTGTGGGGTTCTTCAAAGCTAGAGCTTCAAGTGGCTCTTACATACATGCTCTGCTCACATCTACTGGCTTGAAGTGACCACAGACCCTCTGTGGACACATGAAGTCACGTGGGTGTGCTCTCACCAAAATCCCTGAAAGCAGTTGAATGGGTTCAGTTAGAGTAATGGCATTAAGGGACAATTTAGGACAATGGTTCTTCCAGGAAGCTAGACATACTGTCTCCACTGACCACTACCACATGGAGTTAGCTGAGACCGCTGGCAGAATGGTCAGGAAGATGCAACGTGTGACTGTGAACCCTGGCTAGAACAAGCAGAGCCCAAGTGGTGTGTGTGTGCGCACACGCATGTGTGTGTGTGTGTGTGTGTGTGTGTGTGTGTGGATGCGTGGACTCCCACTCTGGGTGAGAGAGTTCTGTAGCCCAGGCTGGGCTTTGACTTGCTAGGCAGCCAAGGATAACCCTGAATTCTTCTTGTTCTTCCAGCCTCCACTTCCCCAGTGCTGGGATGACAAGAGACAAGTATGCCCTCCACAGATGGGGAAGCTAAGGTCACAATGCAGGGCAACCCCATGGGATTGCCCCAGGTAATAGTACTGTCAGCATCAGGTATGCGGTCAGCGGCAAGTGACCAGTTCCAGCGTGCTTCAACTTCCCCCCTCTGGTCAAGAAGCCTGGGGACCAGGGCTGGTGCTCCAGAGTCCCGAGCAGTCCAGCAGCATGCAGGGTGCTTGGTAGCCCCAGAACACGGTGCTTCTTACGGTGATTTGTGGGACACATGACCTCTGCCTTGCTCCACTTCTATAGCTGCCAAACTGTCTGATTTCCTGAGACAGGGTCACTTTTCTGGAACTTGTTGTGTGGCTCAGACTGGCCTTGAACTCAGAGATGCACCTGCCTCTCCTGAGTGCTGGGACTAAAGGTGTGCACTATTGGGAATATGACACAGGCCAGTGAGAGGCTTGGTGGGTACTGGGACTTGCCACCAAGACTGGCGACCTATGTTTGAGCCCTGGAACCCACACAGTGTCTCTGACCTCTCACATACCAACAATGACGAAGTGTAGGGAGGGGGGCATCTGAGGTGTGAGCTGTGCCTCAGTCCTGCCTGGGGGCAGCTGCTCCCCAGAACTAGTCTGCTGTGCTTGAGGCTTCCCAACAGGAAGTCCAAGGCGAGTCTGTGCCAAGGACATTAGAGCCACCACCTTCCACAGCTGATTAACAAGCAATTACACCAACATCCCGAGCCAGTACATTCCTGGACAGGCCTCAGGCCTCCGGTGCTGGCACCACAGCCCACAATGCCTAGCGTTGACAGCAAGGGTGGGGCTGACTGGGGACACCCTGGCTTTGCCACGGCAGCCTCACCTATTGGCTCTGCCTTCACACACACACACCCTGCCCAGCCCCAGGCATGGCAGGTACCCCGGGCACACACACTGACTCTAGTCACCAAGGAGCGTGGCCTTGACAGGCCTGGCAGGGACCAAGCCGAACCCAAGACAGAAGCCGAGAGTCCAGGTCTCTTTAGGCCCTGAGGCCTCACTGCTACACAGGGTAGCTGTTGGCAATGGGATGGGCTGATAGCCAGGGCCAGTGCATCCCCTCAGGGCTCAGCCCATCCTTCACAGAGGTCATGTCCCACAGAGTAAACCTGGGCCTATGAGGACACAGAGGTGCTTGGGAATGGCTGGGTCAGGCCACACTCTTCAGGCAACAGGGGAGCATCAGCTAGGGTCTCCGCGTGCACCTACCTAATCGTGGCTGACACCTGGCAGAAAGACATGGTATAAAGGACTCAGAGGAACCAGGAGGTGACCCAAACCCAGGGCTGTCGGGTAGCAGCTGATGAGACAGGGCTGGCTGGAGAGAAGCCGCTATGCTCACAGAGTTCTGGGATCCTCTGCATGTGTCCAGGCTCTGCCTTCACTATGCACTCATCTGTGGCCCTCCAGCCCCATGAAGACCCCCGGCACCCTGAGTTAAACCCTGAGGACACTGCACCCCAGTCCAGACACACACAAAGAAGCCACGCGTGAATGACCACAACCTGGGCCAATCCCATTCCTTTCCCCAGAAACCCAGGGACCCCCCCACCCCCGCCCCCAGGCCAGACAAGATGACTGAGAAGGCTAGCTAAGCAAATCAGATTCCTTCTCCAGACACCTTACAAGCTCTAGCCCCTGCCCACCCAGCCCACCCGGCCAAGCCAACAAGGCACATAGTCCTCCTGGAGAGGCCACGGGAGTCAGAGTGAAGGGTTCATGGAACCCAGGCTGAGCCAATTAGATTTCTTCTCCCAGGACCCTGGAGCTAGAGGGTCAATTTCTGCTGCTGGTAGGAAGACAGGAGACCTGAGGTGCCAGCATGGGCCCTGTTACAGGTGGACTGGAGCCAAAGTCATGGGCTCCTGAGGCTCTGGGGTACAAGCACCTCATTCTGGGGCTGGTGGCTTTGAATCCTGGCTCTCTGGGCCATCCCCAGGCTCCTGGTACCAGGTGCACTTTGTGGCTGAGACCTCAGAGGGTTCTGTCCTTTCTCATGGTCCTGGAAAGCCGAGAGGTCCGGAGAGAGCGAGCTGTGCTCTGGGCCTGAACCCCAGTCACCGCCTTTACTGAGCCAGGGCTCAGCAGCTGTGGCTGCGTCTGCAGTAACACTCTCTAGCCACCACACCCTCAGAAGACCAGGGAAGGGAAACCTCAGACAGAGAAGTCAGTCAGATGATCACGGAGGCAGAGGTGGGAGAGACGCGGCCACAAGCTGATGGATGCTGTACATTTCACAAGCTGGAAGAGACAGGAAGATCCTGCCCGGAGCTCCGGTAGGAAAGTAGTCTGGCTGCCATCTTCCCATCAGAAGCTGCAGGCTGGGGCTAACTCTCCAAAGACAGACTACGCAACAAGTGGGAGGAGCCAGCACTGAAGGGGGCGGGACCTCAGGGGAGGAAGCAGCGTCCCTGGTACGGCTCTCCTCCATGGGAAGGTGCCATGTGCCATGGCTGCTGTGGGTCCCTCGGCAGTCTGGCAGCCTCAGCCGGCTTGTTTCCCCTCACTGCATTGACAGTGGTGATTTGCAAGAGTCCGTGGGACTCCCTCCTGGGACGGCTCTGAAGGGGAAGTATGGAGACAGTGGGAGGAGCTCGGCCACCAGGGTCCACCTTGTCTCCTGTCATCCATGTACGGTCAGCAGTGGGCAGGTGACAATGTCCAGTCATTCGTTCATTCAAATGCTGAGACCCAGACATATACAGGCACAGTCTCGGGGACCAAGGCAACCATGACAGCAGCAACAGGACTGGCCTGGAGGATGACCAGAGTCACCTATCCTAAAAAGTGTTTCTCAACGGGAGGTGACACCAACCCCCAGGAATCCTGGGCAATGTCTGAGGCTGTGACACCGGGGAGGCCACCACAGAGTGGGCATGCGCGAAGCCTAGGACGCCCACTGGTGGCCCAGCTGGCCACTAGTCAACAGCCAGGAGGCACGCTGTTTGTGAGCAAACAAGTCCAGCTGATTTCCAGAGGGTTCTCTCTTCTAGCTCTATAGGCCTTTTAGGCCTACCTAGTAGGGCAGTGTCTGTTTCTCACGGACACTTCCTGTCTGTGAGCTGGGACTGGGTGCAGGCACTTCCTGTCTATGAGCTGGGTACAGGCCTGTCTACAGAAGCTATGGAAAGCCTGAGGGGTCAAACCCCAGGCGCTGCTGGCCCAGTGGGAGCACAGCTTGCCAACAGCTGGGCCGGGAGTAGGTGCCTCTGGGTCCTGTGGCAGGACGGTGAGCCAAGCTCCGCGGCTAGCCCATGGCACACTACACAGAGATGGTGCCAATCTCTGAGCCTCAGAACCCGTCCTGACACAGCACCACGCGGTGAGCTCCTACTGGACAGAACAGCATGTGACCTTCCCACGGGGATCTGAGTTCCATCCTATTTATCCAGAAAGCCCTGCCCAGCCAGCACCTGGGAAGTGGCCCAGCTAGGAGCAGTTTCTAGACTCAGGGCCACCTGGCCAGCCCTGAACTGTCACCTGCATGGCTGACCCGGGAAGTGGACTAACATTGCCTGACTCAGACTAGTCGCTTCTGAAACCTCTTAGCACCCCAGGCCTGACGGCAAAGGGCAGAGCGGACAGTCAGCTTACCCAGGTAGTAGAGGCGGTGGGAGTGGGGGCCAGACTCATCAGGCTTCTGCACGAACTGGAAGTCATGGGGGGCCTTGCTGATAATGAGGCCCGATGACTTGCGGCTGCCGTGGATGATGCTGCGCAGCCCGTCCCAGGAGTGCTTCTGTACACAGAAGCGCGCCGCCGCGTCGTCCATGTCGCCTGCCGCCACCTGCTCAGCTGGGGAGACCCCGCCGGACATCCTCGGGGACTCCTGTGACGGCAGCGAGAAGCTGTGGAGGGACACGTGCGTGAGATTGGGTGTCTTCCTGACAAGCTGCCCTCACGATGGATGTTTCCAGATCAAGTTATTGCAACTTTTTCAAGCAATCCTCAGGAAAACCAAGGTTCTGCTGAGTTAAGCGGGACTCCAACCTAGATCAGACTCATTCATCTGAAACTCTTCCTGGTCTTCCATGCCTTGATTGGGCATAGCTCAGGGTGGAGCCCCGCCTAGAATCCCCCAGTGAGGGGGTGTGGTTGAGGGTGGAGCTCCTCGCTAGAACCGCCCCCCCATTGATGGGGGGGGCCCTGCCTAGAACCCCGCCCCATGAGAGGTAAGGCGTGGTTCAGGGTGGAGCTCCGCCTAGAATCCCCCCTTTGAAGGGCTGGGAGCGTGGTCAGTGGTAGATGCTTGACTAAAACAGGAACTTAGGACTCTAAGCACACAACAAAAATCCAGCATTTTTTGGTGTTCAAGGGCCCATATCTTCCAGGTTCTTCAACACCCCCTCTTCATAACCTGCCTAGAGAAACCATTCCTTACTCAGACTGGGCGACTCTTTCTTTTTTCTTTTTTTGGTTTTTCGAGACAGGGTTTCTCTGTGGCTTTGGAGTCTGTCCTGGAACTAGCTCTGTAGACCAGGCTGGTCTTGAACTCACAGAGATCCGCCTGCCTCTGCCTCCCGAGTGCTGGGATTAAAGGCGTGTGCCACCATTGCCCGCCTGGGCGACTGACTCTTTCGCATCTGTCCCAGGGTACATGTCATCCTTTCTGTTTTTGTTTTTTGTTTTTTGTTTTTTTCGAGACAGGGTTTCTCTGTGGCTTTGGAGCGTCTCCTGGAACTAGCTCTGTAGACCAGGCTGGTCTCGAACTCACAGAGATCCGCCTACCTCTGCCTCCCGAGTGCTGGGATTAAAGGCGTGTGCCACCATCGCCCGGCCATGTCATCCTTTCTGGTATGCACTTCCTTTTCTTTTTTAGGTTGACTAAGCTCTTATTTTGTTTTGTTTTGTTTTTTATATTTATTTATTATGTATAAAATATTCTGTCTGTGTATATGCCTGCTGGCCAGAAAAGGGCACCAGATCTCATCACAGATGGTTATGAGCCACCATGGGGTTGCTGGGAATTGAACTCAGGACCTTTGGAAGAGCAGGCAATGCTCTTAACCTCTGAGCCATCTCTCCAGCCCCCTTGTTTTGTTTTTTGAGACAGGGTTTCTCTGTCACAGTCACAGCTGTCCTGGAACTCGCTCTGTAGCCCAGGCTGACAGCTAACTCCCAGAGATCCGCCTGCCTCTGCCCCTGAGTGCTGGGATTAAAGGTTGACTAAGCATAAAACAGGTCCTTAGGAAGCTTCTCATGCCGCCATCCTGAGATGGTCGCGACAGTTTTCCCTTCCCACGGGGCTGTCCTTTCCCTCAGGCATCTTTGCGATGGTTACTTGGTGAGTGTCTGTTCCACTTGCACCTCTCCTTGGCTGTGGGACTCAGCGCCCTATGGACATCAGTGACAAGAGTAAAGACTTGGAGCTTCCAGGTGTCACTGTGCACAGGGGACACCCGCAGGGGCCTTCACACTGACATCATCCCGGTGAGCATCCCCCAGGCCACCCCGCTGTCCCTCTTGTCCATTCTGGGACTGGCCACCTTCCAGCAGCTCCCTGCTCCTCACAGTCACTGGGCTCAGCTCTGTCAGAGCAAACCTGGACCAACCCGGCAAATATTTGCTTTAAAGAAATCTAAACACCCAGCCAGCCACAGTGACCCAGTTCTGGGCATGCCAGAGTGGCTGGGGGGAGCTCCAGGGGCTGAGATCCCTCTGAGGGCTCCAGAAGCTCCTGCGATGGAGCCTCCCAGCACCAGCAGGAAGTGGGAATTGAAGGTGCCACCACACAAGGGTAAGGACTGTGGGGTGGGAGGGTGGAGGGGCCCATGTGCAACCGGGGTGGACCTAGGAAGGCTGCACAGGGAGATCCTGTCTCCAACAAACAAAGACACCCACAGAGCCTGGTGCGGTGGCGGTGGCACACATCTATGACCCCAGTGCCCAGGACGCCAAGGCAGGAAGATGGCAAGTTCATCCAGGTCACAGGGTGACAGTATCTCAAAACCAAAACCAGAAGAAAGTATGCAAGATGGCTGAGAGAGGATTTGCAACCTGACTTCTACCCCAGAACCACTTAAAAGTGGAGAGAGAGAAATGACTTCACAAAGCCACCTCCAGAGCTTCCTCAGGACACGCAAACCCACACATCTGTTCACAGACAATAATCAATGACAGCAGAAAACGTGAAACACCAAACCAGCGAAAAGGCCCCCACGAGGACAGGAGTGAGGTCCCAGGCTGCTGTGAAAAGTGCAGGAAAGAAGGCAAAGACATCACTGTGAGAGTCAAGCCTGTCGACATCATTTCACTCTTATGGGAACCCATTGTACAGGTGGGGAAACTGAGGCCAGAGGGTAGAGCCAGGAGACAGGGGCTCCCTAGCCCAGGCTCCTCTGCCACACTGAGGGAAGTCTCAGGGTGGAGCAAATCCTCCCAAGCAGCAGGCTCAGTGTTCTTGGCAGGGAGACACAGGAACCGCGTGCTCTCCCTCTCCTGAAGGCACTGCCGTGGCAGCTGCTCACGAGACGCTCTCACAGTGCAGACTAGTGACCACAGATGTCCTCGAGGCCCTAGGTCAAGCATCCCAGAGAAAACCAGGGAATCCCAGAGCTGCAGTTCATCCCCAGGGTAGTGGGAGCCAAGGGCAGCGACAAGCGAGAGGCTGCCGGCAGCAAGCCAGAAACCTGAGCCAGGGGAATGCCACTGACTGCTTCAAGTACCTCTAGACTGGGCCAGCCCGGTTCAAGCCTTGTTCAAGCAGGAAACGCAAATCTGTGGATTCCCAGAAGGGGACCCTTCAGGCCCTCTTAGAGACCAGTCACACCCGTGCAGAAGAGGACCTAGGAGGGCCTCTTGCCTTGAGTTACCGCAGAGGGCCCAGGCTGCAAAGATCTGCCCGCGGAGATGCGACATGAAATGAGACACCAGGAGCTTTGGATGCACTCTAGAACCTCTCAGCGTGTACTCAAGCTGGGCTGAGGCCTGGGGCTGACAGTGTCGCTTGACTTCTCCGCTGTCCAGATGCAAAATGGGGACCCAAAGAGGGGCTGGGGAGTAAACACGGGATGGCAAGGCCCCCATCTGCATCAGCCTGCCCACAGTTCCTGCTCAACAGTTTACACAGCTGGGGATGAAATCAATGCCAAGCCACTTAACCCAGACACCTACGCTTCCCTCCTGCCATTGGCATGTCGCCTTCACAGACTGTAAAGCCACCAGAGACAAGGTCTAAAGCTTGGGGCCATGGTCGAGGCTGAGGTTCTGATGGATTACTTCCCAGGGGTAGGAAGCAGCAGCCCTATGCGCCTGACTTTCTGCCTTAGACCTCAGAGACAGGCTGGGGGAGGGAAGAAGGCACAGAAGAAACCAAAGCTGGCGGTACTGGGGAGTTAGGTGGGGAGACAGCAACATAGAAGGGGGCAACTCGCAGATGCTCCACCGTGGAAGACGAGAAGAGGAAGTCCAAAGATACAGGACCTGTGTCCCACCCGAGCTGTCCCAACTTTGGACTCCCAGTACTTTGGCATCCAAGGTCTCACAGGGTCGATCTTGAGCCTGGGCTTATATTCAGTAACCAGCCACGGGGACCACAGCTGCAGGGACCACACATGTAAGGACCACCATGCCAGACCTTGTACCTTGGGAGGCCCCACTCCAGACCCCCTCCTTGCTTCCTCCTGCCACCCAGGTCCCTGCTGCATACATGTGATGTGTGCTGTGACTCAGAGCCACTTCTGAGGCCACATTCATGATGGGGATGGGAAAACCGAGGCAGTGAAGCTAAATGGTTTGTGCCATGTCCCCCAGAAAGGAAGGCACGTTTTGGGGACGCCACCGTTAAGCACTCAATGAGCCAGGGCTCTCACACTTGATGGATCTGTCCCAGCAGACTTGTGTCCAGGTCTGCGGATACCTGTGACTGGCATGAATTAGGGTGGAAGATACTGTTGAGAGAGGAGAGGAAGGAGGAAATGAAAGAAGAGCTGGAGGAGATGGAGATGGAAGAGGGAGAGGACAGACAGGATGGAGGAGATGGAGGAAATGAAGGAAGCAGAGGAAGAATCGAGTCCCGGTCACTGTACAACACCTTTGAGTGAGAGGATGTACAACCCGGAATAACCCAGTCTAGGGTCCACCCCTACTGACACCTTGGGCACCAGCACAGGGGGAGCAGGTGCAGAGAGTTGCTGAACTGACTGTCAGAGCCCCACCTCTGCCCCACCCTGGCCTCCCCCACCTTCTCCTTCCTCCTAATCCTGATGCAACTTGACCTTTGACACTGACCCACTGACAGGCAGTGGGGCCTATGGTGGGGGACTGCAAGGTCAGGAGTTCACCTCTGCCTTCAGAAGAGCACTGGGTACCGGGGACATCCCATGCCAAGTGTCTCACTGGGTCCCGAGCAACAGCAACCTATCTCTTTTGTGGGCTGGGTTTCTGCGGTTCAGAAGTCCGAGAACCCTCCCGCCTCTGGGGTACTTCAGCACCCAAGGTCACCATCACCTGCACTCTGTACCTTCACTCCAAACTGAGCCCAAATACACCTTTTCCTGTTTGTCTACACATCTTCTGGGGGGGGGGGTCTGAGCTCACAGAATGGATGGGTTCTGTTATACCCACTCCCCTAAGATAGGAAACCCCAGCTTCCAGTCCAGGGAACTGTGGGTATGTGGGTACGGTCTCTCCTATCGGCTGTTTGTTCCACATGACAGCTGCCTAGGAGAACTTACGTGGAGGGACATCATGGTCTGAAGGTGGTGACTACCAACTGAGGACCCCAGATGTCTGGGGACACATGCCCAGGAGTGGATTGAATGATGCTCAGCCCCTTGCAGGGCACAGGATGTCTTACAGAGAGCAACCCATGCTAGTGTCCCCAAGGGACGGACAGTCGCCCTCTGGATCCCTGTCCCAGTCCCACCCAGCTGCCACCACTCCTCCCAGAAGAGTCTAACAGCCTTCCTGATGCTTGATGCCACCTAGATACAGAATGAAGGTCTGGCCAGTATTCCCTGCCCAGTGCTGAAAAGCAGGGGTCCTATGTCAGAGGAAGAAGAGTTCAAACCCCAGCCTACCCACATCTGTGCCGTGTGACCCTAAAGAAGCTACAAACCTCCCTGGGTCTCAGTCTCCTAAAGTTATAAGCTGGAACTATAATACCTATACCTGGGGCTATGGTAAAGATTAATGGGGATGCACACCCAAGACATTTTCATAATGACAGCCGTCAGACGGATGAGCCACTTAAAAAAAAAAAAAACACCAGAGTGACTGAAGCCCAAGTGCTGGGTACTGTGTCAGATGAGCTGGGGAGGGGTGGCCACACCTCTCCCAAACCCAGCCTACTCACTACCCTCCCTTTGTCCCCCTGGAGCCCTTGGAGAGCAACCGGACAGAGGAATGAAGAGAAGAGTAAGATGTGTGGACCATGGCAGCCATGGCCTCAGGTCACTCACCCCAGAGCCAGACACAAAGCCACATCCTTTCAATCCCTGCATTCCAGAGCAAGCAGACCTGAATGCCCCAGCCCACCCCAGAGCCTGCCTCACTGCCCAATCCCAACATAACTGACCTTCTAAAGGGTCCCAGTAGCTTCCATGGCAGCTGCAGGCGCGGGGCACGAACCTTGACAGAACAAATGTGGCGTTAAGGTGGGCAGACGGGAAAAGCTGGCAAGGATGGAGGGGTTGGTGAAGATGGGGGTTGGTGAGGATGAGGGGCTGGCAAGGATGGAGCGGTTGGTGAGGATTGGGGGGCCGGTGAGGATGGAGGAGCCGGTGAGGATGGAGGGGCCAGTGAAGTGCTTGGCTTCTCACTCACTTTCCATGCGGGAGGGAGTCTCCGCCTGTGCGGTCTAACCCTATCTACCTGGTTAGACTCTAACTGAGCCTCCCAGCCCCTCGGGGCTGCCAGCATGCCCTGGGTTGCACTTGGAAGAGACGTGTCTCTCAGTGCCTGGTCTCCCCAGGACCCAGCCGGGAACTGGCGACTGTGGTCCACACCTCCTGGGCACCAGTCCCAGCTCCTCGAAAGCAGGTTGGTGACTGCCCAGGGGGTTCCCAAGGGAGCCTGGGTGGGAGGCAGCAAGAGGCCACTGGGATAGAAGGCTGGACTATAGCGTGGATGGGGAGGGGATGGGGCGGGACTAAAGCCTGGACCCTGAGGGTGGAGCTGAAGATGCAGGGATTGAAACCCGAAGCTGAGGACTGGGGGGTTCAAGCTAATCAGGGGGAGGAAGGGGCGAGACAGGGTATATAACTTGAGTCTGGGAGCGTATCAAGCTCGGCATGGAACAATGTGGAAACTGAGGCAGAAGGGCTGAGTAAGGGATCAGGCTTGGGGAGAATCAAGCTAGGGGCGGGGGTTATCAGGCTTGAAGGAGTCAGGCTGGTAGGGTCATTTGAAGAGCTTCATGCTGGGGATATCAAGCTTTGGGGTTATCAGGCTTGAAAAGAGAGTCAGCCTGGAATATCAGGCCTTGAGGGAACAAGTTACGGGGATCAAGTTTTGGGGATCAGGCTGGAGGGATCAAGCTGAGAGGGGAATCAGGTTTGAAAGGGATCAAGCTTGCGGGGATCCGGCTTGGGGAGATCAAGATGCGAGAGGATGAGGCTTGAGGGGATCAGGCTGGGGGAGAGGGGAAGAGGCCGAGAAGGGGGTTGGCGAGACGAGGCTGGCGGAGGCTGGCGAAGGCTGCGCGGACGCCGGGCTGAGCCGCGCGCTGCGATGAAGCTGGCGGCGGCGTCTCAGCAGCGGTGCGGCAGCAGCTCCTGGGCGCGGCCCGGAACGGGCGAAGCGCGGCGATCGGGGCAGCGGGGACGACGAGGACAGGGCGCGCGGCGCCGAGGCTGGCGGACGGCGCCGGCCGGGGCGGGAGGCGGCGAGCCGGGGCCAGGCGCTGCTCACCGGGGCGCGGCGCGGAGGACGAGCTGGGCAGGGGGTCCCCGGGGCCGGCGGCGCCTCACGCGCGACGCTCCATGCCCCGGACGAGGGCCCGGAAGTGGAGGGCGCGGGGGGACAGCGAAGGCGGCGGACACCGGGGACCCGCCGGCTGTGCCTCCTTTGACCCGGAAGTTGAGCTGTGGGAGCGGCGGCTTCTGATTGGAAGACGTCAGGGCGGAACCAACATCCACGAGGCTGGGGGGGGGGGCGGTGTCCCGGAACCCGGGAGGAGCGGGCCGGACACCCCTGCACCGGTTCCTGTCGGCCAACCGGACCCTGCCGTGACCCCGAGGGAGAAAGGGAAACTGAGGCGGGCGTCGGCCGCAGTGGCTCTGCCTTCCAAGCAGTTGGGCCTCTTTCGGTACCCGGCTAACGCGTCTGTTAAGATGTTTCTTTTCAACTTCACCTTTTTTGTTTCCTTGAACGTCAACTTTCAGAATTTCGTTAAACAAAACAAACCTTACACAAAGCTAGCCGCGGTTGCTCACGCCAGCCCTCAGGGAGCTGAGGCAGAAGGACTGTCAGGAGTTCCAGGCCAGACTGAATTGCGGAGTAAGATCGTGTCTCAAAAACAAGACCCTTAAAATAAAAATCCCCAAAATACAGAAACGAGAAAGAGGACAAAAATATGGAGGCAGGATTGTGACTGTGGAAACTGGGTTAATTTGCTTGGACGGGCAAGGTGTTTCAGGTGATGAAGGCGAAACCCTATTTAAAAGTAGTATACTAAAATTAATCGACTTGACTCCAAAATAACTCCAAAGGACATGCCAACACATATATCACCAAGGCTTTTGTAGTTTGGAGCAACACCGGGTAGCTTATCCCCAGGGCTCCAAACTGTGGAATGTGAAACCCAGGGCCTCTCACTGGAGGCAAGAACTCTGCCCGAACTGCATCCCCAGCTTTGAGCTTTATGCTTTTATTTCTCTTCGTTTTTGAGACAGGAGCTCACTACCAGCCCCTGCCGAACCGGACCTCTTCACATACATCAGGCTGGCTTTGAAGTCTCAGAGATCCTCCTGCCTCTACCTAGAATTCCCCCACCCCCGTTTCAATTTTTGTCTGAGTCTGCACCACCTAAGTGTGGCAGAAAAGGATGAAGGAGCCCCTGGAGTCACAGCCCTGTGGGTGCTGGGAACTGAACTCCCTCCTTGCCGAGCCATCTCCCTCCAGTCCCTAAAGAGCTTTTGTATAAAGTCACATTGCCTAGAAGCTGTTTGGTTCCTCAGGAAAGGCAGACACTGTTTGGTGAGTCGGCATCCCCCATTGTTACTGTGTCCCTCCGTAATTCTTACTCAGCTTCCTGAATAGCTAACTAGTTGCCTGGACATCCTGAGGGTTACATTTTGAACAAGATGTTGCAACCCACTTCCCTTTCCAGGAACTCTCCCCAGAGACACCATTTGTTACACAATTGCAGGACATGGCAGGGCCTAGCTGCTCTCCCTCCTCTTCCCCAGCCGGAGCCATCTGCTCCTCTCTGCTCCTGTCCCAGGACTCAGTAGTCCCCTCCTCACTCACACACGCCTTAGGAGAGCAGGGTCTCCTGAAATACAGGTTAGCCCAGACTTCATCTTGACCGTCTGCCTCCACCTCCCCAGTGCTGGGGTGACAGGTGTGTACCACCTTGTGTCCTTAATGTGGATCTGGGAAGAGAGGCCAGGGCCTGGTGCATGCTGGGTCAGCACTGACAGCAAGCCCCAGCCTCAGTCTGAACTTCACATGAAAGTGCGATGAGGAATGGGGGGGGGGGGGGGGGGTTTCTCCTCGGTCAGGGGTCAGCTCCTGCACTCAGAGGTGGAGGCAGTAGGATCAGAAGTTGGACCTTGGCACAACCATGCACTGCTGAAGACAGAAGGGACAGTCTGAGCCTCCATCTCTGGGACTTGAAGAGGGTAAAAAGTTGACCCGGGTCATTCCCCCAGCTAGAAGCACTCTTCAGGGTTCAGTAGAGAGCTGGGGGGCTGCCTTACATGGGACTCCCAGGGGGGCAGGCTCAGGGAGAGCTGTCTGCACTCCCAACTTGCACAGTAAGAATCCCCTAAATTCAGCACAGTGTCGGGGAGCGGGGGTGGGGGTGGGTGGGGAGGATGGGATGCTTGAAGACAGAAATAGGGAAGAGGTAGGGAGGGAAATGGGTAGAAATGGAGGGAACAGGCAATAGAGGGACGCTAGCTGGGCCTCCGGGTCTTGGATCCACTCTGGGGAGCCTCAAATTCAGAAAGTAAGATTAGGAAGAAAGGCACGTGGGTCCTGTGGGCTAGGAAACAGTGGGATGCCGGGGAAAGTCTCAAAGGCCTTCACTGTCTGGTCAGCCCCTCCCTGGCTCTGGCTCAGGTGGGTGGGGTTGAGGGGTGGGCCCCGTGTAAGGGGAGCCCCGCCACGTCGCTGTTGTCCCTCCTCCTCCCGCCTCCCTCCTCCCTTCCCGAGACCCCGCCCCTGGACCAGTGTTCCGCGGGGCACAGGGCTGGAACCCAGAACAAATCAAACCTTACCCCACCCCAACGGCCAGCCCAGGAACTAGGAGACAGAGGAAGGTTCCAGAGCTCAGCCTCCAACTTCGAAGACGCACTGCTGACACAGCCAAGGGGCTCTGCAGAAATGTTCGAGAGTCAAGCACACGGCCCTGCGCACCCTGAGCCCATGGGCCTCTCAGCGCTCAGGGAAGGGGGTGTATCAGGTTCACGGGTCCAGCCCTGCGGGCCCCTGAGTCTGCCAGTGGAGGAAGGAAAGGAGGGGTCTTTTTTGTTGATGTTAAATTTTATTTATTTATCATGGAGGCACGTGTATCACAGTGTATGTGTGGAGGTCAAGAGACAACCTGAAGGAGTCAGTTCAACCTTACCTTCAGGTGAGTCCAGGAATCGAACTCAGGTACTCAGACTTGCCTGTAGATGCCTCTAACCCTCTGTTGAATTTTCTCTTCTCTTTACTTTCTCTCTCAATCTCTCTCTCTCTCTCTCTCTCTCTCTCTCTCTTTCCTCCCTTCCATTTTTTTTTTTAAACAGGTTCTTGATTAGTGGGAAGCACGCACCTTTAATCTCAGCATCCGGGAGGCAGAGGCAAGCAGATCTCTGAGTTCGAGCCGGCCTTGCCTACAGAGTGAGCTCCAGGACAGCCAGGGCTGCACAGAGAAACCCTGCCTTGAAAGCAAACAAACAAATAAAAGAAACCAGAAAACTATGAGGGCATCAGGAGGGCTCCATGAGCAGAGGGCTTGCTCCCAAGTGTGGTGAGGACATAAGGTTGGAACTTCAGCACCCAGCAAAACCCAGGCACCCTGGTGTCTGTCTGTGACCCCAATGCTGGTCAGGACACAGCTCAGGCTACTGCAGACAATCCAGCTAAATCAGTGAGTTCCAGATTTGTGAGAGACCCTGTCTCAAAAAATAAGATGGAGAGAGCCCATCACTGTATGGTGACGCACACCGTAAATCCCAGCACTCGGTAGGCAGAGGCAGGCAGATCTCTGTGAGTTTGAGGCTGGACTAGTCTACATAGGACAGCCACTAGTGAGAACTTGTCTGGAAAAAAATTAAACAGAATTCCCAGAAAAGCTATAAGGAGCCAGGGTAGGGGATACCCTAGGATAGCGCCTGTGACCAGAGGAGGATGGTGCCTCAAATCTCTGCTGTATGGAGCACCTGATGGTCATTTTGGCTGTCAGCTTGATGCATCTGGAATCAGTGAAAACCCCAGCCAGCATGCACGACTTTGAGGGATTTCCTCTTTTCTTTTTTCTTCTTCTTTTTTTTTTTTTTTTTTTTTTTTGAGACAGGGTTTCTCTGTGGTTTTGGAGCCTGTCCTGGAACTAGCTCTTGTAGACCAGGCTGGTCTCGAACTCACAGAGATCCGCCTGCCTCTGCCTCCCGAGTGCTGGGATTAAAGGCGTGCGCCACCACCGCCCGGCCCTCTTTTCTTTTTTCATTTTCTTGTTTTGTTTTTCAAGAAGGTTTTCTCTGTGTAGCCATTCTGGCTGGCCTTGAACTCACAGAGATCTGCCTGCCTCTGCCTCCTGAGTGCTGGGCCTAAAGGCAACACCACCACGCCTAGCCGGAAGTATTATCTTCAGCAGACGTTTGAACTGGGAAGACCCAGCCACACCTCACATTCTGTAAGAACAGGTTCATCCTTCCTGCTTCTGAGACAGGGGCATTCCTTTCCTGGTGTTAGAGCCTTCTGTAGGCAGCCCTCCTGAGCTCTAGATGGGTCCACTGAGACATCTGGCCTGGAGGACTGAGCATGAGTGGATTCTTGGCCCCTCTGGCACAAGATGGCCATTGTTGGGACACACAGACCACAGCCTGCAAGCGCTGCAACCCCCATTCATCTGTAGTCCCATGGTCCCGTCTCTCAGCCCGAAGGGGCTATAGTGTGGCAGGACATGGCACCAGTTGCCACTAGCATGGTCAGCAAGGACGTTATCTTCAGAAAGTTCTAGGTGGGTGTGTGGGCAACTCAAGTTTTTGATTAAAGCCCCAAACAAAATCTAGTTGTGTTGTTCTTAATTCAGATATATCTGCTTCTCAGGTGAGGGCTCTTTGTTGTTGTTTGTTTGTTTGAGTTTGTTAATTTGACACACCGTCACATGGGAAGAAGGACCTTCAGTTGAGAAAACACCCCCATCACTTCGTCCTGTGGAGCATTTTCTTGATAGACGATTGATGGGGAGGGTCCAGCCCACGGTGGGTGGTGCCATCCTTGGACTGGTGGTCCTGGGTTCTATAAGAAAGCAGGCCGAGCAAAATATGGGGAGCAAGCCACTGAGTAGCACCTTCTATTGCCTCTGCACCAGTTCCTGCCTCCCGGTTCAGCCCCGTGTGAGTTCCTGACTTCCTCCAGTGATTGCATGGGGCTGGAGAGTTTGTGCTGAAATAAGGTCTTCCTTGCCCAAGCTGCTTTCAGTCATGGTGTTTATCATGGCAACAGAGCCTACCAGGACTCTACAGTGAC